TACCTCGCAGCAAATATCCAAGTGGGTTGCATCTGCCACCCAGCTTGCTCATCAGCTCGCTCAAGTTCCAGCATCACAGAGTATCCACCCTCATTCCACCAGGGCGTTGGAGACATCTATGGTGTTTCTTTCAGGGGTCTCCCTCGCTGACATCTCTGCCTCTTCCACATAGTCACAGTCATCAACATTTATCAGTCACTATCGATTGGACATTTGGGAGAAATCTGATGCTGCTTTTGGACATACTGTATTATCGTCTACCTCGGCGTGACACCCTCCTCTGGGAAAGGTAGCTTGTTAGTCACTCAGAGTGTGATTTACAGAAGCCACGAAGAAGAACGACAAGTTACCTACCTGTAATTGTAGTTCTTCGAGTCGACCTCTGTGATTCACATATCCCAACCCGGCCTCCCCACTGTCATGCTCTTTCTTTATGTGGCGGTTGACCTAACTGAAGGAAGAGCCTTGGCACCAAGGTACATATACTAGGGGGGAGGGGTCTTTTTGATACTGCAGAAGCTCTAGAATATTCCACGCATGTGCAGATCACCCAGAGTGTGAATCGCAGACATTCACTCGGAGAACTACAAATACAGGTAGGTAACCTGACGATCTTTGCAGTAATATTGCACTAATAGATTGTTCAGCAATTGGTCAAATATTACCAAGAAATAAAGCCAATATTAGCAATGGGACTTTGGTGTTTTAACAAGAAGGGGATGATTTGAAAATCATCTTTTCGTCTCATTTTTGGATTCTTGACGATACCCGAAAGGGAGTGTCTAAAGCACAAATGCTTCATGTTAATAAAAGTGACATGTTCTGTTTCTTTGTTCTGTTCATTACTTGCGGTGTGCAAGCTCCTGGCACCCTCCATCTTGAACTGCCTGGTTGCCTGCCTCTTAGATTCTTTTGTATTTTTTCCTTGTTTGAACTCATCTATTTATTTGGGCTTTTTTTTTTGCTCTTTTGTATTTTTTCTTCTTCTTGGATTAATTTTGCTGGATTCAGAAAAGAGGAGAAAAGGCAAGCAACAGAGGGAGGGAAAGTTCCCCATAAGTTGAGTCATTTTTGGTTGAGGGGGCTTTGATTGTATTTACTTGCTTGCTTTTCCCAAATCTTAGGAGAAGGGGTACATGTGTGTATTTTGTGTTTCATTTTGCTGTGCTGTGTGTGTAGGCTAGGCTGTTCAACTATTTTTTTGAAAATATTACTCAGTTAATTTACTATGTATACTACTAAAGGTGTATATTTCAATGAGGGGCTTGGGAGTGCTTTGTTAGGTGGTTGGTTGTATTTACTGCTGTCAGATTTTGGAGTAAATGTGGTTCTCATTGCCCTGATTAGTGGCTGTGCTGTTTCTGAGCAGTTTTAAAGAATTATGTAGTGCTTAATTTCAACGAGTGTCATAAACACAAATGGAAAGGGGTGTGTTAAATAAAGTAGGAAAAACCAAAAGAGACATCCTTTCCATGTTTAGCAAAAGGACTGCTGCACAAAAGACACAAGAATGAAAGAAAAACACAGAGCGAAAGTACCCAAAATGAAACAACAAATGTTTTCACTATGAACATCCCTTGCCAACACGCTTCCGATTTTATTGTTCCATCGTGCTTAATAGGATTCTTCCAGTTGGATAAAGTGCTTAAGTAAGAGAATAATGAAACTCAAACTGGGGCTCTGAGGAGATGTTTGAATTGGCAATAGGAAGTGGGGTACCCTCTGGTAAGAGATTTTAAGACTGAAAGCACCAGAGTAGAATTTTTCTTTTTCTCCCTCACCACCCCAGGACTTTACATCTCTATGGGCTAATGTAGTACTGCAGCTGGGTCTGTTTCCTTAGAAGAGTTTAAGAGAACTGTTGTGCTGGTAAGGGCTATATTACACAGAACCTTTGACAGATAGTTATGATTCTCAACAGCTTTTTGTTCCCCTTCATGGCCAAGAAAATAATTAGGCAAGTACTAAATTAAAGTAGCTGTGCATGAATAGAAATATCCCTCAAGGCTTCCTTTTAAAAGTGTAAATGCAGCATTTCTTCTTGGACATAGTGACATGGCTAAAGTCATTTATGTCCTTTATTGAAAAGAGCTTTCAACTGACACAGTGAAGTAGATGTAGATGCAAACAGTTGGAGATATTTCAGAGAGTCTTTTCTGGAAGTTTGAAGTTATCTAGATAATAAGAAAATAAGACCTAACCTAAAAATCAGCCCTAGTATGATTTTTCAGGATGCTTGTAATGTAAGCCCTACTCCAAAAATAAGCCCTAGTTAAGTGAATCCTCACCCTCCACCCTTGTCCAGCAACCAGAAGAAAATGAAATGACTGTATTTGAATAAATGTAGATTGTTGTACATGAAAAAATAAAACATCCCCTGAAAATAAGTCCTACTGCATTTTTGGAGCAAAAATTAGTACAAGACCCTGTCTTATTTTCAGAGAAACACAGTATTTTGGCTTAAAATATCTCAGAGCAGAACAGAAGCCTATAAATTAGTTTTAACTGGAAATCCTAGGTGGTTTCCCTTCATAATTTTTATGAATTCTTCATAAATAATTCAGATATTAAGACACAGCACTCTAGGAAAGGAAATGGGAATCAAAAACATAGAATAAGGATCTTTTCCAAAGATGATATGGAGGAAGAAAAAGCTTCTAACATTAGGAAATTCATTCAGTTGGACCCCTTAAAGCAACATGTTACTTGCTAGAATTCAAATTCTGTTATTAGTAACCAAGTAATTATTAGTTTTATGACCGTCATACACAACAAACATACAGGGTTTGGCAGAAAAGCAATTTCGTTGGCAATTCTTTGAGTGATTTGCAGTAGATTAGCAAGGATTTCTACCCACAGTTATTCAGCAGTTGTAGCAACAAAATGACCCACCTGCCAGTCTTACTGCTGAAAGGAGAAAGGCTTGGAGTAATAAGGAGTACTTGTATGGAAGGACTGTGACCTCTCTTCATATTTGCATCTTAGAAAAATTCCTGGCTCAGAATATATAGGTTGAAGTCCTATTCTGTAAATTATGCCAAATAAAGCTGATGATAGGAAATCTTACAAAAAGGAAAACATTCTACGGTAATTCCCTGTTTCAAAGGTTCCACTCCCCTCCCCCCCCCCCCCGGTGAGATCCTTTGCATTGTAGAAAAGCTATTTGTGACCATGGGATGGGGATCTTCAAAAATTAAAGTGCCTGCCCTTCTATCCTGTGGCTTCTATAGGTTCCAGTGATGATAATCAGAAGCCTTGGGACCTTCAGGAAAGAAGTTGGAAATGTTTAATTTCCAAAAAAACTTCTGATTATGAGGTCATCAGCCTTATGTCATATGTTAAAGCAACAGGATTTCGGCCAAAGAGTAAAATGTGGAAGAGTCGTTGGCATCTGCATTTGATAGGGAAACAAAATATTTGGAGCTAGACACAGGTCTGTCTCTGCCAGTAAAGCAGTGGTCCGCAACCTTCTCCCAACCATGGATCAGTTGGGGGGGCGGGGTCTGTGTGCGTGGGGATATGGAACGCTCATGCATTGCGTGCGTGCTGGGGGTATGGTATGCTCACAGGGTGTGTAGTGCACATGTACATTTATTTTTATGTTATATGTAAATCACCCAGAGTAGACATGTTCTAGATGGGTGGTATATAAATCTAATAAATAAATAAATAAAATATGTATCCACGGCCAGACTGGTGCCAGGTCACGGACCGGTGGTTGGGGACCCTTGCAGTAAAGAATCCATGTCTTTAAGACGAGTATGGGATATTACATGTTCTTTGTAAAAGATTGGCTGAGCATTTCTAAACTCAGAGCCTTCCTAATTCAGAACCATTATTTCAGTAGCCTAAAGAAGGTATTCATTTATGAATTCTTCAGCATATGACTTTAATCATTTCGTATTTTCAAATTAAGTGTTCTAGATGGATATAACATAGGAAGTTCACAGTGTCTAATTGAGATCTGCAGATAAACTTGTGCTGTGTACTGATTAGAACTGTCTCCCTACTCGGCTGGCCACTCCAGGCAGGGGGCTGGAGGACAAGTCTCCCGGCATAGCTGCTGAGTTCTTCAGTTTAACTATGAATTTTGATACAAACAGTCCATGGTCTGTATCACACTAGTCTGGACATGGTTTCATTGCTGTGTAGGGTGTAGAGCTGCTCCACTTTCATTTTCCTCTCATATAGTCTGTCTGATTTCTGTATTGGTTTCCTGATAAGTTCTGTGTATACATACTTCAGTTGCTTCTGGACATATACTGTATTTGCAACTGAATACTCTTTTCAACATTTCAATGTTTTCCTCTAAATTTCCTGGAAAGATAGGAACATATTGTTATACTTCCAGGAGAGATATATTTTTGTTTTTAAATTTTAAGGATGTTGGTGTAAAATACTGATATAAATATTGGTGTACTATATTGATGTAAAATACTACACTATCATATTTTACATGGTTATTATGTAAAGGAGATTACTGTTTATTTTTCAAAGATTTTTAACTCGGCTTTCAGTGCACCATAGCCTTGTAAGGTTTTTGTGTCAAAAATGTGAAATTACATTTAAAACCAAAAATACGACAAGAGCTTCAGCTACCAAATACAGGCCAGAATAAATTAAAAGAGAAAAATCTAGCAGCGAGGAGGCTATGTTTTTCTTAACAAAGCCCTGTCCCTACTACTTGCCAGTTTAGCATCTCTTTTTGTGGGCCAGAAAGCGGTGTGTATGATGCTGATCAGCTTACACTTAGTGTATTTGGATTCACTCAAGTCCATTTGCGTGTTAAGTGCTTCCACACTGCTCACAAAAAGATAGGCAGCTTGCCACCTGCATGGTGTTCCAGTTGGCCTTTGGAGTGGCTTCTGGGAGTAGAGGCGTAGGGTACATGAAAGATATTGAACATACCATCCGTAACAACTGTTGAACAACTGTAGATGACCGGAGTTTGTAACACTTACTGAGTAGCAGTAATGCAAAGTATGTATTCTGTGTAACAGACGACTACAGCTTCTTGATGGAGAATATGAAGTAGCCATGCAAGAAATGGAAGAGTGTCCAGTCAGCAAAAAAAGAGCAACGTGGGAGACGATACTTGATGGGAAGGTATGAGCTGTTGCTGTGCCAAGAAGCCTTCTCGAAAGGAGTATTTAAAAATCATGGGCTTCTTCCATTGGCTTTTCATCTTTAACATACTTATCTACCTAGATACAGTCAGTAAGACCTGTCCAATAAGAGAAAATTTGGAGCTTTGTGAAAGAATTGGCAGTGTTTCTCACTCAGTTTTTTCTCTACCAGTGATAGCTTGCCTGAAGCTGTCCTAGTGGCTTAAGATTACCTGAGACAAGCATTTTGGGAGATGGGTCAACATAATGGAGGAATCACATTATTCTCACAGTATTTTGGTAGGAAGGCCTTGGCATCTCTGCTGGCAGTAAAGAGCCCACGTATGGCATAACTGTAACTTTATACAAAGATTACAAATATATTTGGGCTACAGAAAACACAGCCAAGTACAAAGCTGTACAGATCAGGCAGATCTAATATGTAATAGCGGGGTACATCAGGATAGGGATCATCTTTACCGCCCACCATAGCAGTATCCTTAGTGCATCTCTCCTCATGTATAAAAGAATGGTTGCTACTCACTTATATAATATTGCACAGGCCTGTTAAGGGCAGAGTGTTCTGTCGCTGTGACACTGGTTGCTGAGCTCAGAGTGAGAAGAGCAGCAGTTAGAAGAGTACTGCACCGCTCATCTAGATGCTTGCCAGTTATAAACAAATCTCTCCAGCCATAATAATGAATGTTTTGCTTGTAACATGTTGCGATAATTTTTTCATTGAACACCTTCCATATTTGAAAGAACTGAAACTCCTGTTTCTAAATAATTACAAAGCTATATGCTTTTTATTTCAGAGGCTGCCTCCATTTGAAACATTTTCTCAGGGACCCACACTTCAGTTTACTCTTCGATGGAACGGAGAGGCAAATGATAAGCCTGCGACTCCTACTGCCAAACCCCTTTCAACACGAAATTCAGAAAGTCTCCCTCAAGAAAACAAGCCCAGTTCTGTTAAGCCTACACAGACTATAGGTATGTGAATATATGGGGTTGACAGATGGTGCTTATGCAAGTGTTATTGCTTGCTTACCTAAGATACTTTTCTTGACCCAGTTCTTAAAAGTGATCAGTTGTCTCAAACAGAACTAGTACTGTACTGTAAAATCAGAGTAAGATGTGTACATTGAAATATGTTCACAGTTTGGGAAATTTGTCTGGGCTGTGCTGAAATTTTTTGAAACTCAGCTGAGAGAATAAAATCTCACTGAGCTAGAATTCAGGATGTGCTTACTTTCCTCCTGACAATTGATTGCTCTGCTTTAGTTTTATTTCTGGGTCCAACTCAAGATTATAGTGTTTGATCTTTGAAAACCTGAAAAGGAGTCTGGCAAACCTTCAGGAATACTTTGTTGCTATGTGCCATCAGGTTGTATCCGACTTGTAGTGATTCTCAAGGTAAGTGAGATATTGAAGGAGTGGTTTTACCAGTTCCACTTCTGCAGTGAGTTTCCATGGCTCAGCAGAAATTCAAACCCACAGCTCCTTAGTCCTGGTTTGTGTCCACTGTACCACACTGGGTATTCTCAGGAATATTTCTGTTAATACCTTTGTGGATGCTGAAATTAGTAAATGAAATCTTGGCCTTGTCCCATTATTTAATATTGTGAAAATATTAAGGTATGGTTGTGCTCTCTCAGTTGTGCCATTATTTCTCTGGAATTATTTGCCTAGGGAACTTCATTTGGTGGCTTCTTTTACAGCTTTTATCAAAGATGCATCTTCTGACATTTCTATTTTTAAATGTCACCTGTGTCCTCATTTTTACAGAAACCCTGTTTTGGGTATTTTTTGCTGATTGTAACAATTCTTCAGCAACTTTAACGTCATAATGCAGATGGTTTTGTTACTTATTTATTTTCTTCCTTTGAAATGATTATGTAAATTAGAAATTTTAAAACTTAACATTTTTAGATTGGTTTAGTGAAGTATTTAAATAGATATAATATAGAGTCTTACGTTTTCATATGAGTTTGTTACTTCTGTGTTGTAAGACTTTTCCATAACAGTCTTGACATAATCCATATAAGACTGAAGAAATGGAAGTTTCTTATGAATTACAAAAAGTGTTAATTGTTTATTTTGAAACAGGCTTGTTGTGGTTTGTTGTACCTTGAATCTTATACTTTTCTATAGTCCTACCTTGTGGTTTTAAAAATCATATTGGACTATTTTGGATGCTAGTCTGTTTTGGAATGCAGATGTCTGAATTGTGAAGATAAGAGTTGCTTGTAATGTGTACATCATTCTCAGGTTGGTCAGCTATACCTGGGCAAACACATGAAGCCTGTTTTTAACAACAGAACAATCTGAGAGTTACATATTTTGAAATCATCTTCTAAGTTTTGTTTCTTCTTTTGTTTTGGTCATTCCCTTAAACCTCCACTTTAGCTACTACTTATAATAGATTAGGAGTTGAGATGTGAACTGCAACAGTAATTTGACAACATTTCACTAGTTCTAGGAAGTATTGACACAACTTAGTTCAGATTCTTGGAATGGTTTACATACGGATGGCTGAAATGCAGGTTTATAAGTAGTATATTATTATAAAAGTAAACCAGTACTACTGGTTCATGCCTGTAAAATGTAACGTGGTGAGAACAAAATGGAATTGGAATGACCTAAAACTAGAGAGTAGTAAATAAGCATGGGTATATATTTCCAATATTGTTTAGGATAAGTGGCAAATCTTCATATTTAAAAATCTTATGCACTTTGTTCAAAGTAATTGCAGGGGCTTAGAAAATAGATGTTTTTCTTTTACTTGCGCAAAAATATTAAATCATCTTATTCATATTGAATTTCTTTCTGAACAATTAACTTTAATTTAAATTAAAGATATTGGCAAGTTACTCTGTCATGTTAAGAAATGATGGATTTAGTTTTGTTGCACTATGAAAAGTATTATGATTTTCCTTTTGTCTCTGTCTTGTACATATGGGATATTGTACTTGCTCAGAGCCACATTGGCAACATACTAAAGCTGAGAAGTTTTTGGTGGAAACCCCAGCCCCACCCATGTATGCTTAGTAGCTTTTCTTGTAATTCTCCTCAGTTTTTCTTTTATCTGCTACATGTGCAGCAGCATTATAAACATTATCTCTGCTTTTCAGTTTCTTCCAAGCTGAAAAGTACACTGAACTGCTACCTTAAATCTTACTTTTTAGCTTTGTTTATAACAACCAGACTTAACAAGCAAGCGTTATAGCACACATTTAAGATCGAGAATGTATCAGCACAGTCACTGTTGAAGAGAGGGTAACAGTTTGAAATTTTATGCAAAGAAATGAGATTGTCTATTGAAGCATTACTTGACATGGATGTATGTACCTGTGAAAAAAAAGTCTTACCTCCAGAGAATCTGTGTGTCTGACATTTTTTTGCCTTTCCAGAAGCTGCTGAAGTCTTGGTTGCCTGATAATAAAGTGGCTTAGTGTTATCCTACCCTCCCCATTCATGCTTCTTCAAAGGTGTGGGAGTGTTTAACTTTTCCTGAACACTCAGGAAATAAGTTGTTAAACAATTTTTTAAAAGGTGATATATCACAACAATACCTGATCAAAATGGAAGGACCCAGGTAATTTGAGTTCCTATAACAATTCTACTGTCCTAGTAAGTTTCCTGGCTGCCAGTACTTTTTAATAGCCTTGTGCTATATTGGCTGTTATGCTAGCCCAGAAGATCATACGGGTAGATAACAACTACTTATTCTAGTCCCAGATATGAAGTTAATGCAGCAGTAGGAAATACTACAGCATACTGGCAAAGATGTTGTCATCTACGACCCCAGTGCATTTCTGCAACAAACACAGAAAAAATGCAAGCACAACATGTCTTGCTGATGCTTCATTTTTCCTTGCATGGCCCTCTTCAAGAAGCATATCTCCTGTGGGGGTAAGATTGTACCCTCCAGCAGTCCCACTGGATGTCTGTAATGCCTGGAAAGAAGGCATTTGATCCATGCATGTCAAATTTGCAGAATTCAACAAACAGGGTGACAAGAATATAAGATGAAGATACTTTGTCTGAAAAAAAAAATCCTTGAAAACGGCTGATCAGATAGCTCAGAATCAGCTTCTTTATATAGCTTCTGTAAGCCTTACCAGAAAGAGCTATCTAAGGCACCTAAAGTTAAACGTAGTGTTTTAAATGTGCACAGAAGCAAGATAACAGGCAAGTCAAGAAGCTGAAGCATCAGTCCTCACACTCTTCTTCCCATGCTGCTGTGGACTTGACCCGCTCCCTAGCCTTGATCTCAGAAGTGGTGCTTGCTTCTACTCTGGCTCCAACTGTATTGTTGTCCCTTGAGGGTGGTACTTCCTACTTAATCTTTGCATTCGGTTCTTCCAGATACACCAGCCAGTAGTCCAGCTTGATCTTTTGGCTTCTGTTTTTCCTCTGCTTGTTTTGGAGAAGTTATAAATAATTGCCATTGCAAAAAGCTACTATGACGTTAGCCACTCTGCTTCTCTGTGTCACCATACATTGGAAGACAAAACTAATGAGTGATGAGAGGACTTGTCTGCATCTGTTTCAGATACTTTCAGTACTGTTTGTTGATACTGATACCAGTCTTGATCAACTCATCGGACTTACAGGAAGGTTTCTTCATGTTCAGGATTCTCAGATTCATCCTTTTGTTACTAAAATGAGTCAGTTTATGGAAACAACCTCCGCTTCATCATGTCTCTTGAATTCCACTAAGGGAGCATGAATGTCCTTGGCACTGCCATTCCACCTGTTGTCCACCTTGAAAGCATGAAGACTATGTCATCCACTGTCAGGATTGGAATCACACCTTCCATTTTCAGGCATAGTTGGAACAAGGAAAGTTGGTATCAGTACATGTCTCAGCTTTAGCCTTCACTTCACCATCAACAAGGACATCTGCCTAAGTCTCTACTTCACCTTTGATACCAATTTAGCTCCTGTGCTCCCCTGGCATTTCCCCAGTTCCATCCCAACTGAATGGTTTCTTTAACTCTCCAACTGTCCAATCAGGGCTTGCCACACAGGCTGTACACAGTTAACGTCTGTCATCAAGGCTATATTCAGCTTCACCTCTATATTTAAAGGTGCCAATGGTCTCTCTCTTGTTGGTACCAACATTAGCTGTGCAACAAGAATTACTATCATTTGAGAAGTGAATGACCAGCAATGTGAAAGTATGTTAAGCCAACATCCATTTGGGAGTCCACTTTGGATCAAGATTCAGAGTCTGGATCAGCCTCCTCTGCTCCATCATCACTTCTGTCCAAGAAGAGAAGTAGAAGAAAAAAGATCTTGTAATTTGATGCTATAAAATACTTGATTATCATAGTGGGCCACAGTACCCTTTGTTCTTGGTGATCAGGCACTTGGCCCCATTGCCCACTGGATTCCTACCAATCAAAGGTTGCCTGTTCTCAGAGGGATGTCTCTTGCATCTTCTAAAAGGATGCTCTAGTTTTGAAACAGACCATAAAAGTCAAAAAGGTCGAATGTGTTCCATAAATCTCAGGAGTTAATTTCCTCCTTTTGCTGTAGATCTAGATGTGCTTCTGAACACATCTTAGCCAAGTTAGATGACAAGAGGGTGCTCAAAACATACATACAATAAATAGAATTATTTGTACATACTGTCTATTTTTATCTTTCCATGGAAAAGGGTCTAACTCTATGCTAAAATATTAGATTTTTAAACCTGCATTTCATTTGCTTACCAGTCATTACTCCTTACCCTTAATTACTACATCAGTTGCTTCATCCACAAATGTATTCATAATAAAGATTTGTTAAGTAGCCACATGATTTTTGCTAAGAAACTTCCTAAGTTGTTACAAGATCAACACTCCTGGCTCCATTGAGGAGACATTGGAAGGAAGGTACCATCTACTCTAAGGATAATCCTCTATCCTCCCAGAGTGTAACACAACTCTTTTGCATCTCCCGGTTGGCTGCACCCTGTGCCAACCAGAATAATGGAACATGGGTATTTGTCAGTAACCTTCTTGTTTTAGTGTACAGAGGCATCAGTTACCACACCCTCAGGAGAGGTGATGACTAAAAGAGCCCTAAAGTTGAGGTAAATTCCATTATAACAATTTCCAGAGGGGATCAGGGTCCTGTTGTACCTTAAGGTCTAACAAATACATTGTAAGATACGTTTTCTTGAACTATAATACAGTACACATTCTGAGGTATTGCCTAATAAATTTATTACATTTAGGATGCTGCAGAACTTTTTGTTGTCTAAAGTACACATACTTACCACTCTTCTTTTACCAGCTCTTGAACACTCCTTTGTATCTTGTTCCTCCCATGAGCATTAGCCTGTTTCAAGTTTGGCCCTGAAATGGAATTCAGGAGGAACTTACAGGGGAAGGGGATGCAGGAATATTTTTCACCATAATACTTTTCTTCCAATCAGTAGAAGGTGATCAACTCCCTCCTGGATGTCTTCATATACCAAACAAGCAAGAATCTTCACAGGATGTATCAGTGTTCAATATATGGAGAGAAACTACAATAACATTATTCTGACAGCTGCTTGTCAACTAGTTCATATGGCTACTAAGCTCTGTATGATGTAGTAGATGGTGTGTTGGATTTATTCATTCAGCCATTTTGCTTGCTGACTAGTTTTAAGCAAGCTATAATTTTTAACAGAAGTTCTGTGTGTGAATATGAATATAATAATTATATTTGATGGCTTTGTCTGCAGTATTATAAATGCTTATTATTTTTAAGAAGTTTTCTATGCAGTACATAGTGCAGCACATTGAAATTAACATGGAAAATGCGGTATATAGCCGTAATATTAATTGAGCGAAATGGGTGGTTGTTCAGCAAAAGTGAGGTAAAGACTATTAAACAATAGTATGGCTGTAATATTTGCGTTCTTTTTCAGCTGTAAAAGAATCTTTGCCATCTGACTTACAAACAAGAAAAGAAAGAGATGTTTCAAATGAGCCTCGACAAAAGCTGAGGATATTTTATCAGGTATTAGCAAATACTGCCCAGCCTTGCAAGTGTTGAAAAACTTTTATTGAATCCCACCAGTGCTCTTTCTCTTACCCTGTGCTATATTTCTTCTCTTCCCACTTCTGCTTTTTTCTTTCCTGCTGGTCGGTCTTCTGCCACTCCAATCCTCATTCTTTCTTTCTGCTCAGCTTCTCCAAATTAATAGGCAACAGAACCTTTCCCCTCGCCACCAACTGTGTGAAGAGTTACTGGTCTCTGTAAAATATCTACCACAGAGAGCTGCTTAAAGGCTCTGTGGGAAAATGAATATCACCTAGTGTAGCTGCAGGTTCCTCTCTGGTTTAAGGAATTACAGTTTTATGAATAAGATTGATACTTGCAAGTACTGTTTCTATTCTTTATGGAAAGGAAGAGGGAGAAACAGTCACATGTCACATATGTTTTCAGCAAGGATTTGGTGCTTGCATATTAAGAAGGCTACATATAGTTCAAAACTTGGGAGAGAAGAACTTGTGAAGTCCTGTCTCTTCTAATATTGCTATCTGTAGGTTGGTATTTAAAAACACTCATTTTTGCAACCTATCTCTTGAGAAACCTTTACGTGGGACAGGAAGCAAAAGTTAGAACTGGATATGGAACAACTGATTGGTTCAAAATTGGGAAAGGAGTACGACAAGGCTGTATATTGTCCCCTGGCATATTTAACTTATATGCAGAATACATCATGCAAAAGGCCGGACTGGAGAAATCCCAAGACAGAATTAATGTCAACAGCCTCTGATATGCAGATGATACTACTCTGATGGCAGAAAGTGAGGAGGAATTAAAGAACCTCTTAATGAGGGTGAAAGAGGAGAGATAATGGCCACTGGTCCCATCACCTCCTGGCAAATAGAAGGGGAAGATATGGAGGCAGTGACAGATTTTACTTTCTTGGGCTCCATGATCACTGCAGATGGTGACAGCCACCACGAAGTTAAAAGATGCCTGCTTCTTGGGCTTCTTGACAAACTTTGACAGCATCTTAAAAAGCAGAGACATCACCTTTCCAACAAAAGCCCTCATAATCAAAGCTATGGTTTTTCCTGTAGTGATGTATGGAAGTGAGAGCTGGACCATAAAGAAAGCTGACCGCCAAAGAATTGATGCTTTTGAATCGTGGTGCTGGAGGAGGCTCTTGAGAGTCCCCTGGACTGCAAGGAGAACAAACTTATCCATTCTAAAAATAATCAACCCTGAGTGCTCACTGGAGGGACAGATCCTGAAGCTGAGGCTCCAATACTTTGGCCATCTCATGAGAAGAGAAGACTCCTTGGAAAAGACCCTGATGTTAGGAAAGTGTGAGGGCAAGAGGAGAAGGGGATGACAGAGGATGAGATGGTTGGACAGTGTCATCGAAGCTACCAACATGAATTTGACCCAAATCTGGGAGGCAGTGGAAGACAGGAGGGCCTGGCATGCTCTTGTCCATGGGGTCACGGAGAGTCGGACACGACTAAACAACAACAAACAACATTTAAAACACTCAAGCTCTATGAGAAATGATGTCTAAAATGTTCATTGAACAGATGGATTTCAGTATGGATTGCAATGTAATATCTAGATAAATATGCTTTGTATTAATACAATTTGTTTTTGCCAGTTCCTCTACAACAATAACACAAGGCAGCAGACTGAAGCTAGAGATGACTTGCACTGCCCGTGGTGCACGTTGAATTGCCGCAAGCTTTACAGCTTACTCAAACATCTCAAACTTTGTCACAGTCGATTTATTTTCAATTATGTGGTAAGTGTTCTTTCTAAAATGTCTTGACAGAAAACTGTGTTTTATAGTGACATTGCCTGTGTGGAAAACTTCCTTGCATCACACCTTTCTGTGATTAGTCCAGAAAGTAGGGTGAAACAAATTCAGCACTTTGCTTTGCTAAAACATATTTCCTGTTGAGTTATACATATTGTAAGCTCTGTATCTCTGCGTCTTGCCAAGGTTGGTGAGGGATGGCCAAGTAAAGCACAGTTTAGTGATCATTGTTTTATTTACTACTGGGGCTAGAGAAGGAGTAATAAGCTAGTTGTATTTAATATAATTGTGTTAAATATATTATTTATTTTATTACAGTATCATCCAAAAGGTGCTAGAATAGATGTTTCTATCAATGAGTGTTATGATGGCTCCTATGCAGGAAATCCTCAGGATATTCATCGTCAGCCTGGGTTTGCCTTCAGTCGTAATGGACCTGTCAAACGAACCCCAATTACTCACATCCTTGTATGCAGGTCAGTGGAAAACATTCTGTTGCTTTGCGGTATGTGCAATAAAAGTATAAATTTCCTAACTAAAGGACATATGATTATTTCATTAAGTTCAACACCTGTTTTCTTGCAGTCATCTTCAGATTCTTCCTCTTGGGAAGAGTTTGGTTCTTTAGAAAGTAGGGTCTGGTTGTTTGGAAGTCTGCATTCCATTTTCTATACCTTTCCCTATCTTCCTTGCATTTTGTTTCCCTTCTCTTCTCTGCTGTTTGTAAGGCCTCGTTGGACAGCCACTTTGCTTTCTTGCATTTCCTTTTCTTTAGGATGTTTTTTGTTGCTGCCTTATGTACAGTGTTACGAGCCTCCATCCATAATTCTTCGGGCACTCTGTTCACCAAATCATTGGTTCCTTGAATCTGTTCTTCATTTCTAGTGTGTATTCTTAAGGGATTTGGATTAGAGATTATGCCTGACTCTAGCCCAGTGGTTTTTCCTACTTTCTTCAATTTAAGCTTGAATTTTGCTATAAGTAGCTGATGATCAGAGCGACAATCAGGTCCAGGTCTTGTTTTTGCTGACTGTATAGAGCTTCTCTATCTTTGGCTGCAGAAAACATAATCAATCTGATTTTGGTATTGCCTATCTGGTGATGTCCATGTGTAGAGTCGCCTCTTGTGTTGTTGGAAAAGAGTTTGTGATTACCAGTTTGTTCTTTTGACAAACCTCTATTAGCCTTTGCCCTGCTTTGTTTTGAACTCCAAGGCCAAACTTTCCTGTTGTTCCTTTTATCTCTTGCCTCCCTCCTTTAGCATTCCAATCCCCTATAATAAGAAGAACATCTTTCTTTGGTGTCAGTTCTAGAAGGTGTTGTAAGTCTTCATAGAATTAGTCAGATTCATCCTCTTTAGCATTGGTGGTTGGTGCATCAAGTTGGATTACTGTGATGTTGAAAGGTCTGCCTTGGATTCTTATTAAAATCATTCTATCATTTTTGAAATTGTATCCCAGTACAGCTTTTCCCACTATGAGGGCTACTCCATTTCTTCTTCGGGATTCTTCCCCATAGTAGTAGATATAATCATCTGAATTGAATTTGTTCATTCCTGTCCATTTTAGTTCACTGATGTCCAGGATGTCAATGTTTATTCTTTCCATCTCCTGTTTGACCACATCCAGCTTCCCAAGGTTCATAGATCTTACATTCCAGGTTCCTATGCAGTATTTTTCTTTGCAGCATTGGACTTTTTTTACTTCCAGGCATGTCCACAGCTGAGCGTCCTTTTGGCTTTGGCCCAACCACTTCATTAGCTCTGGAACTACTTGTACTTGTCCTCTGCTCTTCCTCAGTAGCATGTTGGACGCCTTTCGGCCTGAGGGGCCCATCTTCCAGCGTCATATCTTTTAGCCTTTTGTTTCTGATCATGGGGCGCTCTTGGCAAAGATACTGGAGTGGCATTGCCAGTTCCTACTCCAGGTGGATTGTGTTTAGTCGGAACTCTCCACTATGACCTGTCCATCTTGAGTGTCCCTGCACGGCATAGCCCATAGCTTCCCTGAATTACTCAAGCCCCTTCCCCATGATAAGGCAGCAATTCATGAACGGGGACTAGTCCCCTCTATTTCACACTGAATAGACCTCATCTTGAGTACCGTGTCTGGTTCTGGACATCACATTTTAAGAAAGATTCAGACAAACAAATTCAGAGGAAGGCAACAAGGACAATCAGGACTGGGAACCAAGACCTATGAGGAAAGACTAAAAGAACAGGACATGTTTAGCCCTGATAAAAGAAGACAGAAGGGAGATATGGTTGCACTCTTCACATACTGGAAAGGTAGTCATACAGAGGAGGGTCAGGATCTCTTCTCAGTCATAGAATAATTGAATTGGAAGAGTCTGAGTCCAACTCCCTGCTCAATGCAGGAATCCAATTCAAAGCAGATCTGACAGGTGGTTGGCCAATTTTCTCTTGAATGTCTCCAGCATTGGAGCACTCACCACCTCCCAGAGTAGTTGGTTCCAGAGTGCATGACACGTAATAATGGGCTGAAGCTATAGGAAGTCAGTTTTAGGCAGAATATCAGGAAAACCTTCTTAATTGTTAGACCAGTATGACAGCGGACCCGGTTAACTCAGGATATGTTGAGTGCTGCAGTGCTGGAGGCATTCAAGAAAAAAATCAAATAGCCATCTGTCACATCAGCTTTGATTTGGATTCCTGCATTAAGCAGGGAGTTGGACTCGATGGCCTTACAGGTTCCATCCAACTCAGTTGTTCTGTGAGATTTGGGCTCCCCTCACGGAATGGGGTGGGGTTAGCATGGAAAAGAAGGACTCGTAGGGCATGGTTGCGCCTTCTGTGAGCTGTGCCATGCCAGTTCCTTCAAGAAAGAAAAGAAGGTGGGGGAGGGTTGGGAAAGGAGCCAGGCTGGGAAGCCTAGGAGTGGGAAGTGAGGTGGTCTGACATACAAAATGGATACATGTCTGCTGCTTTGTTATTTTAGGGGTGAGGGTACAGTTTATGGAAATGGGCTACTAAGGGCTACAGAAGTGAAGACAAGATTTGGAAACACTGCTCTAAAGCATTAAAGTCACAAGCTGTTTTGAACTTTGAGTATCATCACTACCTTGAACTTGGACCAGATGGCTATTAGCAGCCAGTGCCCTTCCAGGTGCAAATCCAGAAGCTACAGTCTAGATTGACTGCAGTTTCTGTGTTCATAAAGGCATCCCTATATCACAGTAATCTAGAAGAAGAGTTCTTGGGACATGAACTACAGTGGACAGGTTATTCCTATCAAACAAAGTTTGTAGCTGTGGGGCAACAGGAGGTGGCCAAGGACAGTCCAAAACACCTGGCCATCTGGTGACAAAGGTAAATGCAGACTCTAACAATACATTGCAAATTCCTTACATTTTTGTTATTTAGGTACTTGTTAGAAAGCATGCATGCTTTATTTTTCAGACCAAAACGTACAAAAGCCAGCATGTCAGAATTCCTTGAATCTGAAGATGGAGAAGTGGAACAGCAAAGAACATACAGTAGTGGACATAATCGGTTATACTTTCACAGCGATACCTGCCTACCTCTCCGTCCCCAAGAAATGGAAGTTGATAGTGAAGATGAAAAGGATCCAGAGTGGCTAAGGGAGAAAACTATAACGGTAACTTTGTCATCTAGCCATATACTTACAAGTCAATCTATATGGATCCTCTTTCAACTAGGATCAAGAATTTTTGTTTTTTTGAATGGTATTCCTGCTTTTCTTGGATCACAACATAACAGGATGCCTTCTGTCCAACAGTATTTGTGGCATCCTGTCTTAATCCACTGACATACTTAGTAAATGAAGGGAGGTGAAAAAGAGCATATTGATGTACAGACAGCAGGCTTCTTATGATGAGATGTGCAGTTATAACAATATGCTCAGATGCTTTGTGCTTGAAAAGATTTATAGAACTGTCAAATTCCAGAAATATATTTTTCTTGCACAAACATTTAACTTGTAACATAACTGCTGTTCGCCACTCGTCAATCAACAAAATGCATCACTTGGCTGACACTAGCACTTCAGTAATGTTAACAATCTAGTTTAATGTGGAAGACTTCTTTGTACAAAGCAGAATAGACTGATCAAGGAACTGAAGTTGGGCATCACAAATACAGTGGTGCCTTGCTTGACGTTAATTCGTTCCAGTGAAATCGCTGTAGAGCGAAAACATCATCAAGCGAAATAAAAAATAACATTGAAACGCATTGAAAACCAGTTCAGTGCGTTCCAATGGGATGAATACCTGCTCGTCCAGCGAAGATCCTCCATATGGTGACCATTTTCGGTGCCTGTATAACGAGGAATCCATCCTAGAAAACAGCAGGGGCCATTTTGAAAGCCGGGGGCCATTTTGAAAGCCAACGATCAGCTGTTTGCTGATCTTCGTAAAGCGAAAATCGGTTCCCGAAACAGGGAACCAATCAACATGAAGCAAAAAAAACCCAATCTAAACATCGTTTTGCAATCGCAAAAACGTCAACGTTAAGCAGATTCGTAGTTAAACGGGGTAATTGTCCAGCGGGGCACGACTGTAAGAAGGAAGGAGGGGATACACTTTGCTTCTTGTTCTTTTTTGCCATGGAGATGACAAATGAATCAATGCTATTCTGCATAATGTAACACTAGAGTGTGATGTGTTTTCTTAACGCCTTCATCCTGTATTTCTTCTTTCTCTCATCTAGTATTTAAAAATACATTTATTTCAGGAGAGACAGTCACGGAAAACCTTCTGCCTCTTTTTTCAGCTCTATTTGCATTATTCCAGCTCAAGGGTGGGCATCAACACTACCCATAAATTTTCCTGGCTCCTGTTCCCTTTCAGGCCCCACATGCCTTTTTTAAAAATTGTTCAAATAGAATTGCTGCTCCTGGAAGTCTCCAGAAGCAGTGATTTTCCTGTAAAGTAAGGTGCAGCATCTTATTTTATGTTGGGGTTGGGGGTGAGGTCTGCAAGTGTTTTTGCTCCTAAATCAGGAAAGCATTTTCTTGAGGAAGTGCTTCTTATACTGGTCTCAAAATGTACCAGAATTGCCTGTACTAGTTGTAGCTCTGTGGTATTGTATTGATTACGCTGAACAATTGCGAGCAGTTGATAAGCTTGTCCTTCTGAGTATGATTGAATGAACAAATTCTCTATTAAATTTTAAATGGTTTCACTGCAGCAAATTGAAGAGTTTTCTGATGTTAATGAAGGAGAAAAAGAAGTGATGAAATTATGGAATCTACATGTTATGAAGCATGGGTATGTTTTTAATTTTTAAAATCTTTAATCAAGCAATGAGGGATCAGATTAAACATGCACAAAATAATAACTTTGGCAAGCTTTAATTAATTAATTTTATACTACCCATCTAGCCTATGACTACTTTGGGTGGTTCACTACATAAACAATAACATATAAATTTAACAGATAAACATAAAATATAACAATTACACATTAAGACATTTAATATTTAAGATGGCAGTACAATGAACATATTGCATTTCCTACTATTTTAATAGTACAGTACACTTGATCTTAGCCAAAAAACTGAGGAGATTTGGAGTGATATTTAAAAGCTCAGGGCTACACTTAGAATTTGTAGCTCTGTCAGCTGAGGTATCTGCCAGAGCTATTTATTCTTTTCCTTATGGATCAGGAAAGTAGTGGGACCTTTATTGTATGAGGATAAATTGCTTCCTCGGATGGATTATGGAGCCCTGGTATGGGCTCTTTCAAATATCACAATATTGGAATCTGTTCAAAATAAATTCCTAATCCCTGGGGTACCAAAATCTACCTCTAAGGCCGTAGTCCAATCTGAGACAGCGTGCTGCTCAGTAAGTACTCTTGCTAAGAAAGTAGCTTTTTGCTTGTGACCCAAGATAGTTTACCAGATGGCCTCACTCCTGGTTTACTGGTCTATGAGGAAATGGGAAGGGACTCCTGGGCAGCAAGAGGTCCACAATTATAACTAAACTGGGCTGTTTTCCAGCCTATCTCCACAGGAGGGGATATGAGACAGCCTGAAAAGGTATTATTAAAAGAGCTGACAACATCAACATCTAAACTGCTATGGCTGGCATCTGTAACTATTTGCCGCTCCAATAGGATATATAATAGCTTTTTTTTCCTTTTTAGAAGGGTTCTCCCATTGTTACCCCTTATTAATTCATATAAGCTGAGAGACTACTAACCAAATGCAGATTAAACTCTCTGCAGTTGAAAGACGTTCAGAGACTTATATGGACCAATATGATGCAAGTAGATACTGCCCACCAAAGATGCTCTAATATCGAGGATATGGTGCAGTTTCTAATATAATGCCCTCTGTATGTAGATTTGACAGATCAATATATTAAATCTTTATCAGCTCAGGTGAGGAACAACTCCCCTTTATGTACAATTTGATTTCTGCTACCTGGCAGACTGTTATACAGTAGATCCTATAGAACCACCAAATTTGTTAAATATGCTATGGAAAGATGGAGCTTATTGCCTGTTTCACAATCTATACATTAATTTTACAACTTGATACCTGTTTCAGAATGATTATTTTATCATTTTAATATGTTCTGCTTTTCTGATCGTTTATATTTATTTATATATTAGATGTTAACTGTCAGTGGCTTTAATTTCTCTTTATATGTATAGCCTGATTGGCTATGGAACAATAATAAAGATATTTTAATATAACTCTTGATTGTATATTTTTTAAATGTAGGAATATTTTTAAAATACAGAAATTAAGGAGAGCTGACACATGTGTGAAAAGGATACTGATACTAACTTCTGTGGGGTTTTTTTTCCTGAATTTCAAAATCCCAAACTTCAGTCTCATGGTCATGTGTAACAGTATTTTCTCATTTTTAAATTTTAACAGGTTTATTGCTGACAATCAAATGAATCCTGCCTGTACTCTATTTGTTGAAAATTATGGACACAAGATAATTAAGAAGAATTTGTGTCGAAACTTCATGCTTCATCTGGTCAGCATGCATGACTTTAATCTTATAAGCATATCATCGATAGACAAAGCTGTTGCTAGGCTCCGAGAAATGCAACAGAAGTTAGAAAAGGGAGAATCACCTGCTGCAACAGCAACTGAGGAATCTTCTGAAGAACAAACTGGGACAAATAATGGCTGCATTGAAACTAACACTAGGGAGAAATCTTCAGAAGTGGATAGTACCTCATGCATGACAAAACAGAATAGAAAGCAGAAGATTTGAAGAGAAGAGCAAAGATGATTGAGTGGACAAATGTGGAATTGACGTTTGAAGATGCATGATCTCTATAAGGAATTAATAAGATACACAGGTTCTTTACGGGCACTGCTGGAAACAAAGGATCTCAACAAGGATTGTGTTAATATGGTTCCTATTGAGTTAATTATGCAAGTACTACATGTATATCAGTTCTAGTGATGTAATGACAATACTCAAAGTTTGAGCATGAAGAGCAATACAATTTTTGGGAATTTTAATTATGAATTGTACTGAATTTACATAACTTGAGTATATGTAAACCAGTTTTTATATAAAGATTTTTTGCATCTGTACTGGCTGTCTTTCCTACTGTGGAGTTAGAAATTAGGGAAGGGTATCTGGGGACAGTTTATGCTTTGTACTTGGAAATTCTTTAGGTTAACTTGTGGGAGATAATGCACCATTTAAAGTTTAACTTGATCTTTTTTGTTTTTAATAACTATAAAACTACAGACTGAAACATTTTAAACAACATTTTTAAAACTTCAACTGTAAAATAACAATGTTGTCTCATGTCTGTTTGGGGGAGAGAGAAAAAGACCCTTTGCTTTTCTCATTGAAAACGGGAGTACTATCTAAATTTGAACAGTAGCCTGAAAGAATTTGCAGATCATGCTGATCACCTATGTGGTGGATCAGCCTTTAACCCACTTAAGCAGAGTTGCCTAGGGTTGTATAATGTCATACTGTGTTAGCGCCAAAAGGCTGTGGTGGGTAGTGCCTAAGATCTGTGCCTATTGTTGCCTACATACAGATTGCAGGATCAAAACATGGTGTTGGACTATTTGAATGACACTCATCAGGGGAAATTGCAGTGTAAAATTGGGCCCGAAAATGTGTTGCACTTCTTATGCAAGTATTCTGTGATGTATTGCATTCAATACAGATGCTAACTAAATAGTCTTGTGCAGTCTTGCACTGCTAACACATTTTAAGCATGTTTACAGATTTTTCTTTTTTCCAATGGAAAGTAGTTTCACTACTGGTACAGTATCAGCACCAAGGGTTTATTCCAGCAAGCACTGTGGTTGAGTTACATCACCTCATTTTTTTATTCTTAAATAGTTCATTTTTCATATTCTTTATTTATAAAGGATCAATTATGTAAATATGGTATTTCTAATTTTTTTATCTCATTCCACCACCATAAGAAGGCAGTTCCCTGTTCTGGGCTTTTGTTTGGGAGTGTGGGAGGGAAGAAGCTTTCTAATGGGGATTTTCAGAAATTTATAAAATTGTAAATATGACTTTGGTCCCTAAAGATGTGTTTAACTGTGAGACTATTTAACTAATGGTGTGGATGTGATTTGTCATCCAATATTAAGTTCTTAGTCACAGATTTGTGTCAATAGGAAAGAGGGAGACTTCAGCTTTCATTAGACATCTTGATTTGCCTGCTCTTGAGTTGTAGCAAACTCTATTACACCTTTGAATAGCCAGCCGGTCAAGCATTTCTCTTGGGCTTTAATTTGCTAAAGCTGTGCACATATGTAAAGTATATATTTTAGGAGAGACGTAGTTCTAGAACTATTGCTTATGTCACTTAAGCAGTCACGCTCTTAATGCTTAAAAGGAGGCTAGCGTTGTTTGCACAAAAAGTCGGTGACCCCCCCAAATAGTAATGAAATTACTTCTGTCCAGTAAACTTTGTACGTCATGTCCGTTTATAAAAGCTGAGAATCCCTTTGTTTCTATTTATAATAAAGATGGATTTTCTATTTGTACCCTTATTGAGACTTTGCAAAAATCATGTAAACTGGGTGAACATTTGAATGGTACAGTAGATATAAAAAGACAATTGTTTAATGGACCTTTTTGTTTTTACATTAAATGTTTATTTGAAATTGGATTTTGTACATAAAGTTAAATAATATAAAATTTGATGAAGTGTTTTGTTGAATTTTTTCATGTTTATCCAAAGAGCTATTTATATTAGGAACATTTCTGTACTAGGAAATTTCATTCTGAAACCACTTTGTAAAGGTTTCACATTTGGATGGCGTATTGTTATCTACAGTCCAACATGAAATGGGCAATTCTTATATCCAAAAATTCTGGGCATTACATTAATGCATTTTTTGTCTACACAGGCTATCCATATTTGGTTGAGCTTTCCATTTTTTTAAGCAGAAGACAGGCTTTTACAAACATCTGTTTCATGCAAATACCTTTCAGCAGAAGTGCTTTAAATAGACATACATTTATCTAATAGCACATTAGTCCACAGTGGCTAAAATTCTGTTTGAGTACTTTTGCCAAGTGGAATATGATATTTAGCTTCCAAGGCTCCCTAGGGCCCTATTTTGATCTGGGAAAGCTTTTGGGAGCTGGGGGGGGGCTTTAATCACCAAAATTTGCTGCCAAATCACTACCAGTGGTACTTGCTCCTGGTGGCAGCAATCTGTCAGCGAATTTTGGCAGCTAAAAGCCGATGCTGCGAACAGAATTTGGGTCATTATCTTCCAAAAACTGTTTAAAGATTGTCCATAGATTTGCTTTTAAAGGTAGTAGGAAATTTCGACACTGAGAAAGAGTGCAGGTTTTAGTCTCGTCCCACTTTTGGGGTAGAATGCTAGATGTGGCTGCAGTGACAGTGGGCAGTAATGTGGTTGTGGAATTAATTCACCATTATCATCACTGATCCTGAAGGATGGCAGGTCCACCCCAAGTAAAACTTTCTAGCCTGTATCTTACAAAGGATATAATTTTAATTAGCTGGTATGTTTTAGCTGGCTGGCTAGGTCAGTGAATTGGAGCACTTGGCTGCAGAGCCAAGGGCCAGGACTTTGATCACACATTTTCCCTTTTTGGGAAAGAGCCAGCCAGGGAGTGCTCACGCACACAGTCCCAAAGCACTCTCAGAACAGAATGGTAAACCACTTCAGAGTACTCTATACTTAGAGAACTCAGAAGGGTTGCTGTAAGTCTGAAGTGTGACAACATACAAATTTGGTTGTGTGTTCTGCTCTTCACATTTAAGACTGATGGGAAATTGTTTCTTCTCTGTGGGTACCACTCCACCAACACCTGGTAGTGCAGGGTTATGTCTCATAAACTGCAAAAGGACAGAGCTGGTAATAGTATGATGCATTTCTTGGATCATTTGCAGTAGTTACATAGCCTTTGCATCACTACATTCATCCCAGCTCTTCAAAGTAATAAAAGCTAAGGTCCTTAAATCAGTGGCATCTCACCTATTTATGTCCGAAGCAGAAGGACATTTCAAAACAAAACGAATTGGAAGAGAACTAAATTTGGTTCCTAATTTGATGGATGGGATAGCATTAATCTATTGATACTTCAGTGGAAATTATACATAGAAGCAAATACGTTAAAATCATTTAATGTGAAAGCTGACAGACATCAGAACTAGACAATAAGGTTTGGGATCATTTATTTACTTCCTTACGGAGATGCTATACCACCCTATTAGTATACTGCACTATTCTAGGTGGTTTACATAAAACAAAAAGAAATAAAAACCACAAAGTATAAAACAATACTAAACACCCAACATGAGCTCAGAAGATGCAAAAACTTAGAGGGATGTGGAAGAGTTCAAAAGCTTCCCAAAAGAGAAGTGAGTTTTAAAATTAGGGAGGTCAGGAGTCTGGCATACCGTAGTTCCACAGGGATGGTGCCCAGTTTCTTGGGGAAGATTTCCTGGCCCTTGCATAGCCACCCAGAGGAGCATAGCCTGAGAGGAGGCGGATAGTGTGGGCAGATGACTTGCTTTGGAGAAAGACACTCTGACAGATTCAGGGTTATTTCTACTGAATCCTCGTGTTGTACCCACTTTTTGATGGTTATAGTATTAATAACGATTATTAGTATTAATAACTACTATTTGTTGGAAATAGGTTTTCAAAATGTATGGTGTTTGGACACAGCCTTTCTTATCTGGCACTCTGAATTCCGTTTGCTTGAAGGAACGAGTTCTCTCCTGAAGTCACTTCTCATTATAGCAGCCTGTTACTTGAAAGCTTCCAAGTCGCAGCCTTTTCCTGATTTCTTGCAGTCTCCCTTTAGCCACATGCTGAATTTTATTGATGTAGACCCCTTCAGCTCTCTCTTCTTTTATCATTCCTTTTTTCTGCAATAAGCATTCTGAGGTCAGTGAATAGATTGCTCTGGGAAACTGAAGTGTAGAATCTACTGGACTAGGAATGTATTATTTTGTCAGATGCAGAAGCTGGTCTCCTTACTGAGTCAACATGCACTCTCGTACCTGGATAAATGGGGCCGAATTGGGAAACAGTGGGACTTCACAAAGTAGGTGGCATGCAAGGTGAACAGCGACACTTCTGGGGGAAGGGGGTTTCCAGAGGAATCACTGTGGTGTTCATCTGCTGCAGTAAAAGCCAAAAAAGTCCTATGTCATCTAAACACAGAGTATGCTTTTGTGGGCACTGCCCATTTCTGCAGGTGCATCAGTGGAAAACTTTGACCATGAAAGTTTTTATGCCATGGAAAAGATCTTGGTGACTTCATTTCCTGGCAAAGCTCGGGAATGTAATGGCAAGATAGGGCCACTTCTCTTTTGTGGGTCTTGGCCAGTGACCAGATGCCCCATAGCCTCTGTGTGTGCTGAATTAGGTGGAGGCGGGGAGTTTGCTGGTAAAATGGGAAAGTGGATGGCTTCTGAAGGAGGTCATCTCCTTGCTCCCTGTAACGCGAGCATGCCTCTGCAGGCCCCAGCTCCTCCTCCTTGCCTTGGCTAGGCTGCTTCATCTGTGGAGGAGCAGGGGAAAAAACCCGCCTGGGTGATCCTTCTTCCCTCCATGATCCTTCTTCCCTCCATTTGGACAGCAAATATTAGTAACCAAAAGAGCCGCATGGCCATGCTCTGAACCACACACTACACTGTCCCATTTTCTCAAGACCCACAGGAATTGAGGTGGACTGGACGCTTCCCCGTCTTTCGGGGAAGCCGGATCAGTGGGGCCATGTTTCTGAGGAACAGCCTGGAATGTCCCTCAAGGGGCATTCTTGGGCACACATTAAGAGACATACAAGGCAAGGCAAGGGGAGCACTGGAAGTGTGGATGTCAAATACTGAAATCAAAACTCTGCTGGTTTCGTGGGATAGTATTCTTTGTATGTGCCACTATGGATATTAACCATACCTTTTATTTCAAAAGTTTTAACAGTACAGTTATCTATCTAAAGGTAGCTGGACTTATGCAGACCTTTCATCCTGACCACAGTAATACTTTCTACATTGCCAAGGGAATGGACTTGATGAGCCATGGGGTCCCTTTCAGCTCTTAAATTTCTTAAGCTTCAATAAGAGTCCATGGCTGACAGGCTCTTTAAATATGCCTAGTCTGCTATAGTGAACTAGCATTTTAACTTACCCAATGCTGTAAATGTTTAAATATCCCTTTCTTGCACCAATTAATACACCACGCTGAAGGGAAACCGCTCAGTCTCTTATGCTGATCACGGGGTTGGGCTGCTCTGAATGGGTGGCAAAAGTTTACTCCCCAATAAGACTGGGGAGAGGCATAATCAAGTACTCCCCAGGCCCTTGAAGAGGAACTTGCAGTGCTAAATTGGAGTACGGCCAGGATCAGGAAGGATAATTCCTCTAGCACAAATTATGTTTCACTTGTGGACCCCCAGTTCTGGGCTAGGCACAAGTAAGGAATCTAATGTACCTGGTTGCACAGCTGCTATCATGCATAGATTTCAAGAAAACATGGAAACAAATTGTACTCGGAGGGTGATGATTAATGGGTTCTTCTCTAACTGGGAGGAGGTAACAAGTTGGGTTTCCCAAGGCTCAGTCCTGGGCCCGGTGCTCTTCAATATTTGTATTAATGACTTGGATGAGGGATGACTTGTCAAATTTACAGACGATACAAAATTGGGCATAATAGCTAATACCCTAGAAGACAGGAACAAAATTCAAAATGACCTTGATAGGATGGAGCACTGGGCCGGAAGCAACAGAATGACATTCAACTGGGATAAATGTAAAGTCCTGCACCTCAGAAAAATAAACCAGTTGCACGGTTACAAGATGAGGTATACCTGGCTCAGGAAAAAACGAGTGAGAAGGATCTTTAAATTGTCGTAGATCACAAGCTAAATATAAGTCAACAGTATGATGCTGCTACAAAAAAAGGCAAATGCTATTTTAGGCTGCATTAATAGAAGTATAGTTTCCCCTCTATTCAGCACTGTTTAAGCCTCACCTTGAGTATTGTGTCCAGTTCTGGACACCACACTTCAAGAAGGATGCTAACAAATTGGAAGACGTTCGGAGGAGGGCGACAACGAAGTTCAGGGGGCTGGAAACCAAGCCTTATGAGGAAATGTTGAATGAACTGAGCATGTTCAGCCTTGAGAAGATGGAGGGGTGATATGATAGCACTTTTCAAATCTCTGAAAGGCTGTCATACACAGGAGGAGCAAGATCCATTCTCGATTAACCCAGAGTGCAGGGCATGCAACAATGGGCTCAAGTTAAAGGAAGCCAGATTTTGGTTGAATATCAGGAAAAGCTTCCTAGCTGTTAAGAGCAATATGGGAGCAGAACTAGTTACCTCAGGAGTTGGTGGAGGTATTAAAGAAAAACTGAGATAATCACCTGACAGATATGCTTTGATTGTATTCCTGCATTGAGCAGGGGGTTGGACTTGATGGCCTTCTAGGCCCCTTCCAACTTCACTTTTCTATTATTCTATGAAATTATAATATAATGGTAATTTTATGTTATCTTGTTCAAGCCTTATGAAGTGATCTTTTGTTATGTTAAAGGTAAAGGTTCCCCTTGACATTTAGTTCAGTTGTGTCCGACTCTAGGGCATGGTGCTCATCTCCGTCTCCAGGCCGTAGAGCCAGTGTTTGTCCGAATAGTTTCTGTGGTCATGTGGTCAGTGCTACTAAACACGGAATGCCATTATCTTCCCACGGTGGTGGTACCTATTTATCTACTCGCATTTACATGTTTTTGAACTGCTAGGTTGGCAGGAGCTGGGACAAGTGACGGGAGCTCACTCCGTTGTGTGGATTTGATCTTACGACTGCTGGTCTTCTGACCTTGCAGCACAGAGGCTTCTGCGGTTTAACCCGCAGTGCCACCACGTTCCATGTTATGTTAACCCTAACCAGTTTCTATTTGGTTTAGAAACTGTGGGTTCTTGTCAGGCTACTATCCATACATGGGAAACAGCTAGTTTCCTCAAGATGGCAGCCCTTTCTTTCTTGAATAACCCTATAGAGGAGTTGAAACAAGGAAGAAGTAGGAGCCCTGAGAAATAATTGAACTGTGCCACCAGACCAAATGCATATTTGCAGAATAATGGTTCTTATTCTCTGTCAAGGTAGAATAATAGAAAATTTTGGGAGGCTTTCACTATAAAGAAATATAAAAACAAACAGTGCCTTGCAGCAGCAGCAGAAACGCAGTCTCTATTTCTTCTGGGTCCCAATTCTGGGAGAAAGGCAACATATATCCTGTTTCCGCAAAAATAAGACCTAACCTGAAAACAAGCCCTAGTATGATTTTTCAGGATGCTCGTAATATAAGCCCTACCCCCAAAATAAGCCCCAGTTAAGTGAAACCCTGCCCTCCACCATTGTGCAGCAACCAGAAGAAGATGACATGACTGTACTGGAATAAATGTAGATTGTTATGCATGAAAAAAATAAAATATCCCCTGAAAAATAAGCCCTGTGTTTTTTTGGAGCAAAAATTAATATACGACCTTGTCTTATTTTCGGGGAAACAGGGTAAGTAAAATAAATAATTTTTTTTAAAAAAATAGACTTATACCAAATAGTGATTTACCATATATATATAAAAAGTTAATGATTTCCAACCAAAAGGCTGACTGCATTTGGATTATAACTATCCCACCTCATTGAAATTCCCCACTAACATGGGTGATCTTCAACAAGCCACACACTGAACAGCCTACCTCCCTGAGCTCTGAGAAGATCTGGGCCAGTGGGAGGAACGTATGCCACATGCAAGGTTAGGACAGGATAGGAGGAGAGGATAAAAATGGAAGTCCAACACAAAATGTAACAAACAGTTTGAAAAACTTTTATTAAAAAGTCATGAAACAAAGTATCTTGAGGTAAATGAATACACATTTCCTAAGCATACGTCTGTCCCAATGTTGGCTCCAAATACGTACAGTATAGTCATCTCAGTAACACTATGTGAGTAAAGTCTAGAAAAGTACCCAACACTTTCAGGAATCGTTACATATGAAAACAAAAAGAGAGGTATCAGAAATCCTTTACAAAAATATTTGAATATTTTAGTCCCTGTTCAATTATCAGGCCAGTTATCTAACTCTGAGCCTTTAGGTCTCTGTATCAACTATAAGAGAATATTCTATATAGCTCTAACGGAGTGTGTTACCTAACACACCTGGCTCGCAAGACTTTTCTTCCCATATCAGTTTTTTTCAAGCTATGGAGAACTAGCCAAGACTTTTGGCGGAAAGGGGAGGGGGGAATTCTGTAGCCCAACCAGGAAAGCATTCAGGCTAAATGGAAGCATGAGAATTAGCAATGCCCTTTTCATGAACCTTTGGGTGAAAACGGAGTTTTAATTACATCTTTGTATCCCATGGCTGAGGGGGAAAATGAGGCCAAGAAGTTTATTTTCAAGTGAAGGCCCTGCTTTACTCTTGTGAGAATGAATTCTATGTTTACAGGTAGCCCCCCAAGCTGTGAACTCAACACACAAGGGAGCTACAGAAAATGAGAATCTGCCTCTGTTCTCCCTCTTGGCAAACAGAAAGGCTACATTACTGTTCAGAAGTACACTGATACGTCGAAATTCACAGGCAACATTTTCAACCCTCCATGGCAAATACAGAACTTGACCTCATCGCTGTATCCTTCTGTGTCATCTTCTATCTTATACACTAGTTTTGTTTTCTCCCTCACGGTCACACAGATTAATCATGAGATGTGGATAACTCAGTGGGCCAATCAGTTTGCTCATGGAATTTTGTAAGAGGAAACACAACATGTCCTGCCCTGTCAGAGCATAAGAATAATAAGGCAAGGAGATAATTGTTGGGGTGCAAGTGAAATACAGAGGCTCTGGAAACAATAGAACACAAAGAAACACTGGTTTGAGGCAAAGGGGAGAAAAGAGGTCCTTAGAACAGTGTTCCCCCTACTTTGGGTTCCCAGATGTTCTGGGACAAAAACTCGCAGAAGCTTTCACCACTAGTTGTGCTGGACAAGATTTCTGAGAGCTCTGGTCCAAGAACATCTGGGGACCCAAGGATGGGAACCGCTGCCTTAGAACATTAACCCTTTCCATGCTGTGCTTTTCTTCAGAGGTGTTCAGCCATAGGGTTATGTCCAAGGCATTCGACTATGACTTCCTGAATTAAAGCACCTGCTACCACTGGCCTTGAGATTTCAATGCACACAAGAAGACCTTGGTGAGTGCAGAAAGTGGGCATTATCATCTCTTTGCACTCTGAGGCTAAGGACAACTTGAGCATCTGTGCCAGCACCACAGCCATGACTGTTCAATACTTCTATTTGCCCAAAAGTGTCCCTTTTTAAGTTAGCAAAATATTTTAAAAAAACTCACAATGGATGGATTTATATGTACCATTTTCCACATGATGCTTCCTTTCCTACAGGAGTAGTCACATTCCAAAATGTCCTTAATAGCTCAATTAATACAAAACTGCTCTTTCAACCCATGCACAAGTAGAGAGGGGTGTAATACCTATGTTTCAGAACAGCCTTGGCTGCCTCTGAAGCAGAATCTGAAAATGTGACTGAAAATGTGACGTGGCGTCATTTTGTTAAAGTCACTTGCTATCTATGGGATTCGCCGGAATGGGTCTCTGAAAGAAAATCGACAACATTTCACACAAGAGTTTGGTTTACATCAAGGCCAATACAGTAATTCCACTGACTCAGCTACTGTGTTTGAAATGTATGCTGCAGCGTAGACAATCCTGTTTGACAAAAGCCTAAAATGAAGGCACATTGGTATCACATTTCAAAAGTAATGCTTTCACTCTGGGATCTTTATGGGGCTGCAGCAAACAATAACGTTAGCTGAGTTATAAAGGTACTTGACAGGGCAGGAAGCATTAGTGCCAAATAGACAGCATCTGAAAGTAGAATGCCAAGCTGCAGTTTCCTGTTTCAGTACCTGGATTGCACATAACTTTGGTTCATCAAACCTGAGCTAGAAGAATAGCATTAGGCAGAGATATTGCTGTTCTATAAGCAAACCGTTCAAGAGTATAGGGTCAACACTGGCTTTTCCTTTCACTTAAAAAACATCCCCCCAATAAGTAATATGATAGCCATTGTAAGAGCCTGCTTAATTTTTCAGGTTATTCTAAATGTTTTAACCAGCATTTTACATGAATCCAGTAGACAGGACCAAGTTCAAGTAATGTCAAAGCTACATTAAGGGGCTTACACCTGCACAGACCCACATCAGTGTCCTAAAAGCACACGAAGTTTCAAGAGTCTGTACTAGTAAATCATTGCATCAGTGAGTCCAGCCATTTGAAGACTGGCCATTTAAAGCCATCACTGCTTCAGAGGGTAGAAGTTATTAGAAAACCAGAACTTTCCAGCCTGGATAGGAGAAGGAACATCCGAAGTAAAGTGAATGACACCACTGATCAAGGACCCAGTCAAAGACCACTTCCCTGTTGTTGGAACTAATTGTCACTCTGAGCTTGATGCTGCCGCCCTCATTGTGGGTGGAAGAGCCCAAATTCACAGCTTCAATGTCAAAGGTCACAGCTGATCCAGAAGTCACTGCGGGCAATTGGTTGGTCATTTCTTTTCCATTTACAAAGACAGCCCCTGAAACAGGTACAGCAAGAAGAATTAATATGTACACACAGAGAACATGTACTCTTGGGCAATTAGCACAGAAATCCAAGATGTCCTAAGCTGTAGACCCTTTAATAACCTTGCAAGCAAGCCAAGAAAAAAAATATGTACACACAGAGAACATGTACTCTTCAGCAATTAGCACAGAAATCCAAGATGTCCCAATAACCTTGCAAGCAAGCCAAGAAAAAATCAATCTGCAAGAAATGTACACTGCTTCATCTGACAACAAACACCCTACATTCTTCACAATTCACTAAAATAATTACAAGATTTATGGAAACAGGGTAAGAATCATTAACATGCACGGAGATGGAATCTGGATTAAATGAGATACAGTGGTGCCTCGCAAGATGAATGCCTCGCAGGACGAAAAACCTGTAAGACGAATGGTTTTTGCGATTGTGTTGGTGACTCACAAGACGGCTTCTTCTATGGGCGGGCTTCGCAAGATGATTTTTTCCCGCAAGACCGATGTCTCGCAAGACAAAAATAATTCATTTCTCTTGCAAGGTTCCCATAGGAATGTATTGTAATGTATTCCTATGGGAAACTGCTTTTCGCAAGATGAAAATTTCACAAGACAGCACTACTCGTGGAACGAATTACTTTTGTCTTGTGAGGCACCACTGTACTTCTACCTTAAAAATGTGGAGGTATAGGAAAGGGTTTGCATAGAACCTCTTAAGCAACTCACCATTTGTGCTAACACACACTGCTTTATCTCGCTGTAAAGAATCACAATCGTGCTGTTGCTCCACACATACACCTATACTGTCTTTTCTGTCTGTCTGGCCAACTGTTTCAACCCTGAGAAGGCAACAAACATAAGGATCGGTCTAAATGACTGCAGTTCTTTAATGAGCAAACAGATGAAGAGCAATTGAAAACAGAGGAAGAGCAGGAGGGATGTTGGATTATCCTTAGAGCCACATTAATGCTGCAACATTGCCCACTTAAATAGCCACATTAATGCTGCAACATTGCCCACTGTATCACTGGACAAAGCTTACTTTGATTTACTGTATTAGGTCTCAGCTGCAGAACATCATTCTTCAGCCCATCAAGTCAGTTGAATGGTTGTCTCTGTAAATTGGACTATTGCCACAAAAACACAATCTGACAGCATATCATATACAAAATCTCAAAGCAAAGCTGGACAATGCCTTTGAAATCCCCATAAAATCTCAAAAAGAGGCTAGTTTTTGAGTCCTGCAGGACTCTTCATCTGGCTGGACACTGCAGAGCTGGGATGGAAGGAGGAAACAAATTCCAAATTTAGCCTGCTCAGCGCCAAGAGAAATCTTCACATGCACGGGCTTAGCCATTCCTCCCATGTTGGGAAAGTATGCGTTAGTGCGCACCCCCACCCCACATATGTCTCTACCTACCCACCATTGAAATACATGTGTTTTTTTTAAAATCCCTATAATCCATGATAATTCAGGATGCATACCAGACCACTTCATTCTGGACAGCTTTCACAAGTGGGCATAGATATTGTCCTGTTTTAGTTAAGGGCACTCTGAGGATACCAACAAAGTTGATGGAGATACAGGAGAAGGGCCTTCTCTGTTGCTGCTCTCAGACTCTGGAATTCCCTCCCACAGGAGGCCTGGCAGGCCCCACGGTTGCTGTCCCTTCACAAGCAGGTGAAGACCTTCCTCTTCAGACAAGCTTTCTCTGAACGACTGGCTGCCTGAGTGGGGTTTGCAAATGGTTGGTTGTACCTTGCTGCTTTGAATGTGGCTTTGGTATTGTTTTTGTTTACTGTGTTGTAGTGTTGCATTCGACCCTTTCTAGTATTCTTATACTTGCTGTATTTAGTTTTTTATATTTTCTTTCAATGATGTAAGCCACCTTGGTTCTTTTTTTTTTAAGGAGAAAGGTGCAGTAAAAATATTTTAATAAACAAATAAAGAAACAAATGAGATATGAGATTCACAGCAGTAATGTTGGGGTTGGAAACCTTTGCAGTTCTGGAGCTGGGTTCTGGTTTGGGACAGGAGCTACAGTCCAGTAGTGGATGACACTAGTAATATACATCAAGGCCAGATTTAATTATAACCAACTAGGGCAGTGGTTCCCAACCTTTGGTCCCCACCGGTATTTTTGTACTACAACTCCAAGAAATCCTGGCCAGCATAGCTAGTGGTGGGAGTTTTAGCCCAAGAACACCTAGTGACCCAAGGTTGGGAACCACTGAATTAGAGCATTTCCCCAACCATACAAAGCACAGCTCAAATCTAGGCATGGCCTATTCAAGGAGGAAGCCTCAGTGCAACACCCTCCCATGCTGCAAGCCAAAGGGCAGTTCCATGTATCTATCCAACCTCAACTTCTTTTGTTCTCTCCCACTGGAAGCCAAGAATTGAGCTCTGGTTTACAGACCAGGCAGGTGCAAGTATTTGTTACTAGTTCCTTGTCATGATAAAAGTACCATCTAGTACATTTATTAATGGGAACAGGCTGAAGTAACATACTGTGTGAAAGCTTCCTGCAATCTGGCATTTGGATCTCATGATCTGACCTACAGAGTGTGCAAGCAGCACGAGAAAGAATGGCCTTCCAGGTTTCATTTCCTCTCATTTGGCATGTTTTTGTTATGGCTCCAAATAATGCCTGACATGTATTAAGCACTAATCATGAAATCTGGCAGGCACTGCATAAGGAAAGAAGTGCCATGTTCTCCTTGCTTAATAAGTTATTAATGGGAAAGGACAGTCATCAAATTTTGTTCTATTTTTCTAAAACAATACCAGGCTGACCAATGAAACAAAGTAACTAGAGATCAGATGTACAGAAAGCAAGAACCCACTGTGCTCCAAATACTTACAACTTCAAGCAAAAAAAAAGGGGGGGGCTAATTCATTTTGGAGATGACTTAATTTCCTTCAGTCTGTACTGAAAACAAACTGGGCATAGAACATGAGCCAAGTCATACAGAAATATAAACACAACATTTTTAGAGCAGGAAATTAAATTGCTTTGTGTCCTTTTTTTTCCTTTTTCTTCAAGGCAGGCCAGGCAATAATGAGTTAAAAAAATTTCATAGTGTCTTGAATGCTATTGAAAATTAGAACCATGTGTCCCTGTTAATTCTTCTGGACCCTCCAGGAAAAGTCACAGAGAGCTAAAAGGTTTGCATTATAAAAGGGGAGGAGGGAGCATCTAAATCTCTTACATATGGGAGCAAACAAAGGAAGATGCTTGCAGACAGTGAACCTGAGAGTTACAAACTTCAGCCGCCTCCCGCTTAATCGGATCTTGTCATCCAATACAATTTTTAAATACATAGCTTTGTGTGTTTGCACTTTTATGTGTCTCCCAAAACAGCACTTTTGCATAAAACTAGATATAGTCCTTTGACCTTTAGTAAATGCCACTTATTCCTTTTGGTCAACAGGCACAAAAGTGCTCAAAAGTGTTTAGCCCAATACCTCTCGAAACCTTTTTTTTGACGAAGCCCCAGGTTATGATGTGCTGCAAGTCAGGATACAAAAAGATTCAATGCCTACACACAGGGAAAGAAAGGAGATAACGGAAGCGGCAGGTTCATTATCTTCCTGTTCTCATTATGTCCAAATGAACTCAGAGTCAGAGAGATTTATGGGAATTTATAAAAGGTGGAGGTCCAAAATTTCAAATTGCAACAATAAAACATACAGTACACACGACACACACATTTAAAATACAATCTCTAGGAAACAGATGATAGGTTGGAGGACACGAGCAAGACTGGCAATAGCAGTTTTCAACGTTTGCCTACATTTCTTGACCACATCAAATTTCAAAGACTATTCTACAAAAAGGGTGCCATAATATGCTAAATGCCATTGCTCTAAAGGACTGCTTTGTGTTTCAGGTTACTGAAATGGGAAAGCTAAGAAATCAAAGAATAAAATATGCTGGAAAGCAGATGGAGGACTCTCAAGGAAGCTGGTTTTGCAACTGAAGGGTTAAATTGGAAGGTTGATTCTTCTTGTACTGTCTTAGAAACATCTCTAGCCTAATTGGCCTGAGACACAAGAGTCTTCTAGCTAATACAAAGGATCTTCTTTAAGAGGTCCCAGCCCTCTCCACTATGCCCTTCAGACTGGATGTAAGGGGAAGGGCAGGATGGAGCCCTTGGACGGGTGATACTGGCCATCGCTTGTTGTCACACAATGTCAGTCCACCTCCAATACATCAGGTTTCTAATCGATCCTTGTGAATGAATGAGATTGTGTGGGAGATGGAAAACACTGCTTACATGAATTGTGGTGTTCTATGTAGTTCTATAATCCGCTTTCTGCCCCACAACAAATGCCCTGCTCCCTTTACATACCCCAGACTTGGAGCTGATTTGGGATTAGCAAGAGCCATGCCTCTGAGCATGCACAACAGGACAGAGGGGAAGGTCCCCATCAGAGTCGGCCCAGCTCTGGAATGCTGGCAGTACGTGAGCAAAAGGAAAGAAAAAGGAAAGAAAATATTCTAGCACTTTAACGACTAACAATTTTCTTTAAAATGCTACAATGTTGATGGGGGAGGGAGGAGCTTTTTCCTTTCTTTTGTCAACATGCCAAGCCAAACTAACAGGGCTCCTTCCTTGGTAAATGATACTAAACTCAAATGCGAAATATGTCCTATATCTCAAATGCTGGTATTATGCTCAAGAAGGAAAAACCTCTCCATATTCCTGCTACCATTCACAACTTGAAGAAACTCACGTAGCTCCTTTGGTTGACCTCCTTCAATTCTGAAATATAAGTCAATTCTATTGGATTTCCTAGGCAATCTCCCATTTCATGAGCAATGCCGAACTGGGCAGTATTGTGGTCCCTGTGCCCAGCAGTTCAGCAGTCTTGAGAAGGTTCAGTTTCTCTCTCACTCACAGGTTTTTGGGGATTTGGGGGGGGAGTGGGCACCGAAGAAGTTCCCAAAAACACATGAGGCCATATAACCCACCTATAACCTGCCACTGACTTTGTGGAAACCCAAGAGCATGGTTCAAACATCAGAGCCTGGGCCAATAACTAAATTGGGCCAGGCCCACCTGTCTTTCCATTTAACCACAGAAACCAGCAGGATACAGAGCATGGCCTCCGCCGAGGACTTGCATGAGCCACATGCAGCTTGTTAGAGCAACTGCTCTATTATGTCTGTTAAGCAAGGACTGATAAAGCTAGGTGTCTGGGTAATCAGAGGAGAAGCCTCTTACTGTACTAATTACAAATGGCAGCACAGCATTTCCCCAAAGGCTCTCCCTTGGCCACAACCACATCACCCAGAGGGACAGAGCTCTGCCACCTTTTTCTAATTGCATTGCTGTGAATTAGAAAGCTTAATTCTGAAACTAAACACAACCCAAGCTGCCTCCTCTTCGCAGGACGTTCCTGCTGAAGGCAACCATCCCAGGTTTAGCCAGAGCTATAATGAAGTGGGAGCTGGCACAAGCAGAACAGAAATAGATCTGTACTCGGAAGGGAAAGCAGCAGCAACTGGAATCTCTATAAAAGCTCCTGCAGAAGTCACGAGGTTCCCTACCAAGAAAAGACACGACTAGTTAAGGGACCAGCTTGGGACAGTTTAAGATCCATGGGCTTTGAAAAGATCTTCAAATAAAGACACCCTGAAATCATTAAACCTAGTTTTGGAAGCTAATGATGAAAAAAAGAAGAAAAACCTTTTCAGAGGCTCTCAAAAACAGAATGGGCAATATAACTTGCATCCCCAGCAATGATATGGTGATACAGGGTAAAGAACCTAGTGTTCCCATTAAATTCCTCAACCTACCATTTTACCAAAGCATATCTCCCTAACTTTCCATTTTACCACCCCCCATGAGCCTGCATGCTTCTCCCCACCTTATGCCCCTTTCTCTCCATCACCTGACAAGGAAGAGCTTAATTTTCTTTTTTTCTTTTTTGTTTTTTTTAAAGAGAGGAACCTGAGCTTAGTATCATGATGCTCTTAAGTCAGAAAAGTAAATAGGGCCGGTGGACTCTAAAGAACCAGTTTGGCTTGTGTAGGGAGCCTGCATCAGTCAGTCACGTTTCTAACTCAATTCCTTGAAATTGTCACATACTGCTCTTAAAACTGCCCTTCATTTCCCAAGCAGTTGTCAATGGGCGCTCTGACCAGGCAAATAAGACAGGTACAAGACCACTGGGCTCAGAGGACTAGCTCCATGGTTCCCGGAATCCCTTACCACTATACAGTGGTGCCCTGCTTGACGATTACCTTGTTAGATGAGGAAATCGCTTAATGGTGAGTATTTTGCGATCGCTATAGCGATCGAAAAATGATGTTTTAATAGGAAAAAATCGCTTGACAATGATCGGTTCCCTACTTCGGGAAAAAATTTTTTGCTTTACAACCATCAAAACAGCTGATCGTCGGGTTTCAAAATGGCCACCTGTTGTTTCAAAATGGCTCCCCACTGTGTTTTAGGACAGATTCCTCACTATACAGGCACCATAAAATGGCCGCCCTATGGAGGATCTTTGCTGGATGCTGAGGTATTTCGCCCATTGGAATGCATTGAACCAGTTTTCAATGCATTTCAATGGGTTTTTTTTACTTTCGTTTGATGACGATTTCGTTCTACAGCGATTTTGCTGGAACGAATTATCCTCATCAAGCAAGGCACCACTGTATTTATTTCATGCATCATTTATTTCAGTCAAAAGATGATGGAGCTGAGGTGTGTTGAGTTGTTTTTGAAGAGCTGAAGCTTATAGCTCCTGACTGCAAAAAATATCAAGTTCAAATCTGGGGAAGAGGGTGGTGGTCTTGGACAATCTCAGATGATACATCTATACCAGTTGGCCCACCTCTTTGTCAGCCTTCTCACTACAGCCCATCTGCTTGGCTTTTCCCTCTAGACCCAATTTATACCACTGCCCAGAAAGAGGAGGGCAAGACAAGGCAAAGTTTGTGTTTTCTTTTTGTGAGTCCTCCCTCCCTCTCCTTCCTTTCTCCTCAAAAAGAACGCAAGGCGGCTACATGCCCAATTAGAGTTAAACACCAGGGGATGGAAAGGCAGCAACAGAGAAGCAGGCTTACAGTAGTTGTGGCCACACTACTGGGAGACGGGCCTCGGAAGATGATACTGTCAGTCCAAAGTTTGTGTTTTCTTTAGTCCAGTCCTCCCTCCCTCTCCTTCCTTTCTCCTCAAAAAGAACGCAAGGCGGCTACATGCCCAATTAGAGTTAAACACCAGGGGATGGAAAGGCAGCAACAGAGAAGCAGGCTTAGTTGTGGCCACTCCACTAGGAGACGGGCCTCGGAAGATGATACTGTCAGTCCTTGAGGAAAGTACAATGACACCTTCTTCTTTTTTCCCCAATTTTAGCAGCAGGGGAATAAGACAGCAGTTAAAGTTCACACACATGAAGAATAGACAGTACAATTTCAAGAGGCCAGAAACTCTACTTGAAAGAACAAGACACATCATGTGACCTAAGCAGAAATACGTACCGGAATGTCAAGGTTTGACCACAATAGTAGGTTGGAGCCTTGGAGTACAGCACTCCACCCACTTGTGAATCATTTCTAAGTGCTATATTTCTTCGGCTGCTCAGGCTGTAGCCCTCCAAGCCAGGAGTCCATTCTATGAAAGCAAGCATAAACAATGATGAACATATAGATGTCTATCATCCACACAGGCAGAATGGATTTGATTTAAATAAATAAATAAAAATCAGCTCTCTAGTTGGCAAATTAAATAGATTTTTAAAATTTAAATAATGATTTAAATCAATTTGATTTTTAAGAATCATTGATTTTTATCTACCCTGCACACAAGCCATAAAATGCTATGTAGTATTTTCAAGTTGTTGTCTTAGTCCCAGGGAAATACGTAATCTAATTAAGAATCATTGATTTTTATCTATCCTGCACACAAGCCATAAAATGCTATGCAGTATTTTCAAGTTGTTGGCTTAGTCCCAGGGAAATACATAATCTAGTTCTTTCTGTAGGTATGTGTTGGAGGGGGCTTAGTCTGTATGTGCTCTAAGATGAGAAGACTACAATACTGTATTCTTAAGACAACAACCCAAAAGGCATGCAGTTCAGTAACTGCACATATGCACTTACACTCTGCCCCATACACACTTCCAGACTAGGTGTTTGTAACTCATGCTGGGATCAGTGAAAGTGACAACTTCATAGGAATGCTCAAGGTTACAGCCTTACTTGGAACCAACCCAAATTTATTTTAAATAAATATAATCATCATCACTGAGCTGTAAAGCTGGAAGCGAACCTATGGATCGCCAAGTCCGGCTTTTATCAAGGAGGGACAGTGGAGAATCCAACTTCCAATCTCTGACTCTGCTGACAGAAACCTAAACCACGGAGCTATCCAGCAGTTCTATCTAATCTCTGTGGATACCACAAGATCTGATTTAAAATGAATATTTGATCATGGGTCACATGAGGAAGACATGCTGAAAAGTATACTTTGATCACAAATAAGGGCAAAGGAAAGAAATAAGAATCAGTGTATGGGAGAGACCGTTATGGTAAGGGGTGGTGTGAAACGTTAATCTGATCTAATACTAATCAGCTCTGTAGATGAGTAAAATAGAAACAACAGCAACTAAGAAGAATAAACACAAATACCATGAGGCACTAACGTGGAACGACCAATTTGAGAAACACTCCACGGACTCCATTCCTGACGGCCGTCTCCTCGCGCACAAACCCTGAACTGGTAATCGACATTGGGATCAATGTGCAACACGATGAATTCAGTGTCTGAGCCCACATACACATCTTCAAAGTGACTGGCAGTGCTCTTGCGATACTGAAGCCTGTAGTCTTGCGGGAGGAAGTCCTCATCAACCTAAAAAGAGTCAAGTATTAAGATTGACATACTACCTTCCATTTTCTTTTCCTAGACTATTTCAATTAAATATTTGAAAGCAATTTGTCAGCATGGTACTGCAAAGGCGTAGAGACATCTACCTTGTAGATTCAGGTAAGCCATGGACGATCGGATTAATAACAGTACGTTAGCAGGAGAAATGTTTCCCAAAGAACTACAACACAACATAACACAAAGTCCTGTGCTACAGCAACAACAGAACAAGTGTCCCAACATTGATTGTGTTTTGAAATCCTAATTCTGGACCCCAAAACATGTCCAGCCCATTAGCTTTCAATATAAAAACGATCAACAATAAAAAATGTGTACATTTTGCACAGAGTACTTAGTTATACAAAGACTTTTCCTTGCCTTTTAGAAAGCTGCCCCCACTATTTGTCCCTTATTAGCACACTCAAGCTGAGATAACCAAATGCAGATTGAACTCCTTACAGCTGAAAGAAATTCAGGGACATTATACAGACCAACATGGTACAGGCAGACATTGCCCAGCAGAATGCTCTAAAATAGAGGATATGGTAGATTTTCTAATATAATGTTTTCTGTATGCAGATCTGAGAGACCAAAACCTCAAACCAACAGCTGAAATCAAGAACAATTCCCCATTGTGTACTGTTTTATTTCTGCTACCTGGCACAGAGTACTATATACATTGCTATAAGACCGCTAAATTCATCAAACAAGCCATGGAAGGACGGAGCTTATTGCCTACTTCACAAGCTCTTCAAGTTGAATTCACTACTTGGTACTTTTTTGAGAATGCTTATTTTATTACTAATATTTTATTATTTTATGTTTTTATGCTTGTATGTATGTACTTAAATGAGATGCCAAATACTATTTCAAAGAATGGTTTAATCTATGCTCTTGCGTACAACCTGATTGGCTATAAGCAATGAAGCATGGATATTCTGATCCCACCATTTCTGCTTTTGAAGAAATAAAAACGGGAGAGTTGGGTTGGAGAGGCTGTGTAGCATTTTCATCAGGAAAAATCATGTGCAATCTGAGAAGGCAGCAGTAACATGTAGCAAAAAACAAAACAAAAAAACCCACAGAGAAACAAAAAGGTTGTCAAGGAAGGCATGACAAAGGTTATCAAGAATAGCGACCACATATATGTATATATTTAGCATTGTTCTTGATCTATTTGATTTTCCAGGAGTATGAAATCAGAAAAAAATTCTGAACACTGAGAAACCTTAGGATATCCTATTCAAAATTCAAACACAGTTAGTTTTATTCTTAGCATTGTGGAAAAAAGAACAGAAAGACTGAAATCCAGAGCAGGCCCATTGAATCAGTAGAACACATGGAGGAGCTGACTCACCAAATCCCACTGATTCAATGGGCCTACTCTAGCTACAACTTACTACTGGATTTCAGACAAGGGGCTAGAGAATGAGACCATTTAATGTGAAGCATTTCACAGCATGGCAGATGGACCAAACAATTAATAACAAACAATGACAGAACCATCTCAAAATAGGTATTTATCAGTCGTATAGTAATTGGATTAATAACTAGCAGACTTATCAGACATTAAGAGGAGAGTTTGGAATTTGATACAGCTATGTTTGCCAACTATTTTGTATTTTCTAATGGAAAATTATTTGGGCAAAGAAGACAGATAGGTGGTAGTGGTACTTTACTGTTTTTCATTTCTGAATTTTTGGGTGTTGCACCATATTCTGGGTTTGCTGAGTGCTACAAGAAATGTGCAGAAAGTCTTAAGAACAGGTGAAGGCAAAGCAAATATTTCAACAGACAGTATGTAACCAACATAAAGGTGTGACAGCCAAAATCAGCCATTGATGTAGAAATGGCTGCAAAGCTGTGTTGCACCAGAATCCAAATTATAAACAGTGGCAAGCAAAAGTGATACAGGCAACCCTGCTATAGCCCCTGGAAGGGCATCACAGAAGTCAGGAAATGTAGTGGAACTCCTTTTCGAGATGCAGAGAACAAAGACTGCAGGAAGTTCATCTTCAGAAGCCAAAACTGTGTGGCAATGGCCACTCCATCAGAAAGTCAAGAGAGGAAAAGACAAAAAAGGGTATCACAGGGATGGCGCAACCTCCATGCCAGCAGTGGAACTGGCATAGCTTCTTTTCCGCCTACACTTCTCAGGAGAAGGGAAGGGATTTTTAAACATAACCACAGATTACCAAAATACTCCAAAAACCACATCTATCCTCCCGCATCTTCTCTGCCAGAACAAGTCCAGCACGGCAAAAGAAATTGGAAATGCCACAGATTTCTCTGCCCTTGACTACTCTGTTAATCTGAACTCAAAAAAAGAAGGAAGTGTGTAGGACTGTTTGACCCCAGAAGCAATCCTTCACCTACCTTACACCACCGCACTAGGATAGCTCCAGGCTTCTCAATCAGTTCTTCTATCTGTACCGGGGGCCGAGATGCTACTGTTCCATGATCAAAGATCTGACTTCTCACTATTGTAAGCAAAGAGTCATCCAACTGGGCAGATAAGCAAGGCACATCAACCAGCGATGGCACTTCAGGTAAACTACAGAGGAAAAAAAATCTATTAATACTAGTTATATGAAGCTCTCTTTTCATCTAAACCAAGTTGTATGGCCCAGGTACAAAATCCAAGAAAACCAAGTCTCATAGTATCTTTCTTGAACCACCAAAACATAATGACTACACGAATGTTCAAGTCCTGCAGGATCTGTCATTAGGTTGCACACAGGAGAGCTTGGGGAGGGAGAAAATCTGAAAAGCACTCTGGCTAACTCTTAAGTCTACAGAGAAGGAGAAAAGGACTATTGAGTCTACACTCCATGAAAATACATTATTAGCAAGCTTCACAAGCCTGAAGACTCCTGTTCATGGCCAGCTGTGCCAATGATACAACATCTACAGAGTCTGTGTTGAGTAGTTGATAGCCTCTCCCCAGCACAAGCAAAAGTCCTGTTGGTGTCCAAGGACAATCTTCACCTATGCAGCAAAGAACAAACACAGCTTCACGGGCTGATCGCCGGTTCTTAAAATGGCTCCCCGCTGTTTTCCAGACCTATTTCTGGAAGACAGCGATCGAAAATGGCTTCCCCTATGGAGGATCTTTGCAAAACGAGCAGGTATTTCCCCAATTGGAATGCATTAACTGGTGTTCAATGCATTCCAATGGGTTTTTTACTTTCGCATGACAACATTTTCGCTTTACAGCGATTTTAACGGAATGGATTATCGTTGTCATGTGGGGCACCACTGTACACCTATTTGCTTATTCCTCACCCCCACAGTCCTAGTACTTGAACAGTGTGATCAAAAGTACGTCAAGCTTCAGATGCCAGAAAAACCTCTTAACCAAAGTTCAACCTTATTAGATTAATTGTGTCTTAGTGGTCTTTTCAGAAATCAAGGCTGTTTACTTTATATCAAAAAGGTAATCAGATTACTGAAGTGGGACCACTGGAAGGTTAAGTACCACCGCAAACATGCCAGTTCATGTATAAACAAACCACAAAAACCGAAACTTACCTTTGAAATAGATATGAGCTCTTCTCATTCAGATTACTGGATCCTAAGAGGGGCTCTAAACCAATCCTAAAACAAATCACAGTTTCTCTGCGGTGTCAAACTTCCACCTCACAAATCCATGACTCTTACCTATCCAGCTGAATATGCAAAGCCTTTTTGGTAAAGTTGCATAGTTTGTCGCTGTTCTGCTCTTTTGCGTCACGAATAGCACTCTCACCTAGAACCAAGCAGTATATAAGAATCCTTTTGAAAAGAATAACATTTCCTGCTCATTTCAGGAGCAATGAGGACATGTGGTTCTCCCAACACTGTTGGATGGTAACTCCCATAATTTCTCACCACTTGCAATGTTGATGCGAGGTACAGTTCAACAACATCTGGAAGGACACATTGCTCCCGACCCCTAGATCATAGCTAAAGGAATCCCACCTTGACAGCAGTGCGTAAACACAAGCAGCATCCATTATACACAGTAGACAGTTGCCGGTATATTATTGGGTGGAGCCAGTACGACATCAGTTAATATGAATTAGCCCACATACTAAGTTCATCTCAGTCGTGACCAAGAAGTCACCAGCAGCTACTGCAAATGGGAGCCGGCTCCTTCCCTCCTAATACTCAGAAAACTAGTGAAAAGAGAATTATATAAAGTTGCCCTCAATTATTTATCCCCCAGCCACTGTAAAAATTTACTTAATTTTATTGTGCTTTCTTTTTTCTTTTTGTACAGTATTTTAGATCTAGTTTGATGAACTGCTATATTAATTGAATTGCAATATGGGATTGTGTAGGGTTCTGTGTTTTAATTTGTAAACTGCCCAGAGTAGTGTTTCCACTATAGGGGCAGTGAGTGAGTGAGTGAATAAATGAATGAATGAATGAATGAAAGATATACTGCCACAGTATGCCACATTTTCCATGATCCACACTTCTTACAGCCTGTTTTACATCCTAAAATCCTGCTGAAGAGGGTTGGCAAACCCTTTAGGACAGTTTTTTTGGTACCACTATGGGCTATAGCAGGGGATTGTGGGGAGGGAGGTCCCTATTCTGATTATCGTTGGTCCCAAACTACACAATTGGATCTTGGTCAAAGTTGGCCACTCTAAAATCTGTCTACTAGTCTGTTTATCTCCTCCAGGGAGCAATTTCTCAATGTTTTGTCCAAACTCCTCTGCTCTGGAGAGAGAGGACTTCACAAAAAAACTGCAAATGATTTAGAACAGATCAAGAGGAGCCAAACATGGCAAAAGTCCTCCCTACAGGCAGCAGAGAGAACAAGGAAACTTGTTCATTTAAAAATAAATGGCATGGGTGTCAGTGTAAGTTATGTTTGGAGCCCTGACTAAAGAGTTGTCAAGGATTTATATATGGGGCTTTTTGCAAGCAAAGCACATAATTCTACTGTTGTAGCTAAATGAGATATTGAGAAGAAGGCACATTTCTTCTGATTTAAGATATTTTTACTTCAAAAAAATGGGATTTCTTCAGACATGTGTACCTTGATATTTCAGCCCATAGCTGTCTTCCAAGGACTAATCACAGAACAAAGCATGGTAAACCTAAGGTATATAGTAAGGGAAATAATATGGCACGACAAATGTTTTTACCACTTGAGGCCCTTTTCTAAAAGCATGATCTAGTTTAACCCTGAACTATTATTTTTTTGTTTGTTACTTTCATATCCCACTGTTCCTCCAGTGAGTTCAAGGCAACATATATGGTTCCCTCACTCCCTACTTTAGTGTAGGAACTAAGTGAGCAATGCATCTCTTGTTATTGTCTAATCTAAAAATATTGCACTCTGCAGGAATATTATATTCTGGAGGAGATGCATTGTAATGGTATCACATTTTGCAGAGAAAACTGAATGGAAAGGATGGCACATAAAAAAACAATTTTGCAACAACAACAAAAATAGCACAAACCTTCTGAAGCTTATTTGATTATATTTGGAACGAGAAAAAGATAACCTACAGAGGCCCATCCTGTGTATTCCAAAACACACAAAAAAGGAGCGGCTCCAACTTCCTGGAAATGCAAAGCAAGTTGGAGGCTCGTGCTTCAGTTCTTCATGCCTCCAGTCCGTGCATGGCAATAATACTAGACAGGAAGACTGAGGACAAAGCTACAACAATATGAAAGGCATATGACTGTAGCTTATTTGCATCTTTGCAGTAACACTGTTAAGTACGACACACAATACAAACTTGGAATGTTCAGCATTTCCCTGTCACACCACTGGCTGCCATTTATAGAGAGGGGACAAGGAAATAAAGGCTCATTGGGATCGTTTGAAGACTTGTTCAACTAAACATTATGGAAATGACACAGGAGGAGATGGGGATAGTGGCAGCCAGACCCAAGCCCCCCTTGACAACTGCTGACAAAACTGGTCACCCTGGTTTAGCTGTTCCACCACTGGCTTGGCTGTGTTTATGACAACACTTGGTATCTTTGTGCACCGTACAGCTCTATGTTATATAGACAAAACAATTTACACATATGCTTCAATCATCATTTGGGGATGATGAGGCCTCTTGTGTGTGAATTCTCAGGCTGGCTGGAGCTGTGAATATACTCCCATGCATCTAGCATCAGAAGCCTTTCCTTACATCATGTGTACTATAAGGGCTTCATGGTTACCATGAAGAGTCACAGCCCATTTGTATGAAGACACACAGGGGACACCTCTGTGCAACTGGGAATCCTGGGCTAACCAAACAGAATTCTTCCATAGATGGAGGAGCCTTACATGTACAGTAGACATTAACACATGTGCACAGCTGGCTAACCCAACCACCAAACACATAAAGAGTGCCTTTGGCTGTGTGGCCATCCAGTGCTATCCCTTTATGCTCATTACCAGCAGATAAGCTAGTTTACATGAGCTTCCTACAACCAAAAAGTCATGCCTTCAAAACTGCCTCTTACCTTCCTGGAGGAGTTCATCAGCCGTGCCAACTCCATGCTCTATCAGCTTCTGACATTCATCCAGTGGCTTGATGCTTTCCTGTTCTATAGCATCAACCTCCTGCAGCAAGGACAGTAGCCGCTCATCCAGCAGCTTCCTTAAGGTCCCTTTTAAATCATTAAAATGTTGTTCAAGTACCTCTCTTGTCAGCGCAGCGCTATCTTTGATCTGAAGGGAAACAAAAGACATTCTGGTGAAAATAAATACGATATATAATGTCCCTCAACATAGGAGAAAACTACCACATCCACTAGAATTTGCACCACAGTCCTTGAACCAATTGCTTTGTGATCTGCTCCACGAGGTTCCATTGCTTTCACTGTAATTCCGTCTGTACCTGTCTCCCACTTAGCCCAGACCAAGGAAAGAAAAGGCAAGAATGCAATTTAAGAAACATCAGTAATCGTTACAAAATTTACTGCATTTATTCCAAGCAGAACGTTTGAATCTCAACACCGAAGTTGCAACAACTGTCGCTGTCAAGGTGTCAACACAATTTTTCAACAGGAGATGTCTTACCCCTGCATGCCATTCGGGCATTTGTACATCCCTGTCCTTGTTGGCATAGAGAAAATAATAAACAAAATGGGTTTGCACCTGATTTATAGGAAAGCGAGCCAACCAAGCTCACTTGTTACTTATTCCCTACCAAGAGAAACTGAAAATGGTGTCCATGCATGTGAGGGGGTTCGGTGTTACTTTTATGCTGTTGCATATCAGAAAGTACAAATGATGCATCTAAATTATGAAATAAAGTATTTTTATTAACACAACTAGTATTAACTTTTTTATCAACTTCAACTAGGTTTTGTAACATCAATTGGGGAGGAGAATCTTCCCAGAACCAAGCTAACGATTTTTCATTAGGTAACTCTCTTAATAGTAGGTTTTTGCAGATTTCTCCTTCTCTGTTGGCATTCTCATAAAGCTGTTGCAGACCACGCATAGGGTCCCGCAACAGGGGTGGCGGGCCCAATCTCCCTCCTTCGACAGCTCTTTCTCTACTGCAGGATCTAGTTGGTGTACCATTTTCTCCAGACCGTGAGCTCTGTGATAAACTAGAACCGTCCATTCTTCAGGACTAAGACCAGGGATTATAGGTCTAAATTTCCCCTTAGCTGGATCTCTAGTTTCCTCATCAATTTCACCTTCTGTTGGTCGCTTCTGCGGGGTTGAAAAGACTTGTAGTTCCTCGTCCGGTATTTCAAGCACTTTCTCTTTCACAACTGTTATTTTCTCTGTCTCTTTGGATACGTTCCCTTCTTCAGTTGTCAAAAACATATTCACTTTCTCCCTGTCACTTTCCCACTCTGTTCTCTCCCTTGCAACCGCTGCTCCTGACCGTTTCTTCCGTTCCTCCTCCTCGCGCCTTTCCTTGCCTCGCACCTCTCCTATCTCAGTCACGCGGATCTTTCTCTCTTCCCCGGCGTGCGCATCTGTCACTTGCTTTTCTTTGCGTCTTGCTCCTAACTCCCTTACAGGTTTTATCTCTTGCTCTATCTCGGATGTTTGAGGGGACGGCTCACTCTTTGATGTGATTTCTATTTCCTCCTCACAATGCAACAGGAGGCTGAGACTCACAGAAGACTCAAATGACTCCCCCACACCAAAAAAACATGGTTACTGAAGGAACATTGTTTGCATATTAAATTATGTTTGAGGATTACTGATTAGGAGGGAAATCAATCATCAGTGAGCCAGATGGGAAATGTTTTAAAAAATCTCACTAAAGAAAAGCTGCAAAAATGTTACCCAGATGTAAGTAACTATTTGATCTTCAGAAGTACTGACAAACAACACAGGATGTTCTACTGTCATGATGTAAAGCTGACTTCCTCTTTAAGCGGCATTCATAGGGCTTTGCAGTCCCTCGTGCAGTTAAGATTTGACTTGTTATTTCGGGACTTTAGGGGAGGGGGGAAGGAAGTATATGACTACATATATGAAACAGAGGTGGCAGGAAAGAAGACAGAAAGAGCTTTTTTAAAAAAAAATAAAAAATAAAAGGCCTCTTACAAGCCCAAGTAGCTGTGAAAAGTAAATTGCACAAAGGCCCAAGAGAAGATACAATCCTCTTGATTACACTAATATAGCTTGTAAAATTAGATAAGCAGAGCATCAGTGCAAGAAAAGCTGCACCAACATGACAGTCCAAAAAAGTGCAATGCCACTCATGCCCCAGCATAGCAAAACAAAGTGTGCCGCTTACATGCTGCCCCATAGGGCTTAGAAGTATTCTCTGGGCAGTCTACAAATTGTTAATCATGCAGGCTACACATTGCCCCTGCCCTCCCAAAGGTACTGACCTCAGAAGGATGGAAAGCTGAGTCAGCCTGTTGGGATCAAACTCAGGTCATGAGTAGAGGCTCGGCTGCAGGACTGCAGCTGAACCACTGTGTCACAGGGTTCCTTAGTGTAAGATCATTAAGTTCTTTTTTCCAATTAAATATTTCTAATCTGTTCTTCATTAATATGAATTCAAGTGATTCAATTTAATTAAAATCGTATACAAATTTAAATAAGAAAATAGAAGATTAACAAAGGCAGCAGAAACAACTGTTGTTAAAAACGCCTGGGGAATATAAAGCGTTTTATACTGGGTTTCAGAAGAATAAATGTGTAGCGCCTGAAGAACCTCCATGTTGAATTGGTACAATAACTGGAGTTCAACAGCTGGAAAAGCACTTTCTGCAGTGGTCATCAGTCTCACTTTCAGAGGCAAAGCAATGGGAACAGGGCATTAGCAGGGAGCCTTAGAAGATGGGGCAGGTTGGCACTAGAAAGGGCGTTTGCATGAAGAGAGGGGCAGCACAGAGAGGTTGGTGGAGAAGCAACCATTTTCAGCGGGACTTTGTCAATATGAGAACCTTTCCATGCTGGCACAAAATCTCAGTCAGAAAGATGAAGTACTCCTTCAAAAACAAACATGACTGCTAAGTGGCAAGGCCCACAGCCCCGAGCAGGCTGATTCATCCAAAGGGAATATAAAATTCTCAGTAAGAATAAGATGCCCTAGATCATGAGTTTGACTACAAGCCTGAAGCAGTGCAAAAGCACTCCCAGCAATTCACCAGAGATTCAGGTTGCAAATGGCACACCAAGTGGGAAATCCCCCCTCGAAGTTAGTCACAAGTGATTACGAACAAACTGAAACTTAGCCAATGAGCGGACACAAGAGGCTGTGGATCAGTGACTTCTGGGGACTGACTTGTCAGACTCAGAGAGATATACAGTACTCACACAAGACATTCATGTATTTCCAGAATGTGAACACTAGAAGACTAACATAAGGAGCCACCTGGACACAGAGTCAGACCACTGCTCCATCTAACTCCGGTACTCTTTACACTACCTAGCAGTGGCTCTCCAAGTAATGCCAGGGACGGAGCCAGGGTTTTCACATCCTCTGCTACCCACTGAGATGCCAGCAAAAATAGTTATTCTTGAGTAGTACTTTGAAGCAAAGGGTCTATGGATCACTTCATCTTTGATGAAATAATAACATGCTTACTGTATATACCTTCATTCCATTGGACAGAAAAACATCCATTGAGTTGGGGGTTTGTGCTTCACCCCTCCCCAAATCTATAGGGATCCCAAGGTAATGAGGGTTAGCAATAGGGTTAAATTTACATGTCTAGTATTTCCTGATCCCATTCGAAATTCCAATGTTACTCCCAACGTACTGACAGTCAAAATGTTTTAATTCGTCTTCTCAGCCTCGTGGCTTGCAAAAAAATGGCACAAGCCTCTTTTTTTTGGTACCGAAAGATACTGGCCAGAGCAAAAACTACCCAATGACAGAACACAATAGA